CGACGTCACCACAAACTATAGCCACCATAACCTGGCGCCGCCGCCGTGACCTGTTCACGGTGTCACAGATTACGTACTGCACGAATGCGATGATTGTTTTTGAACTTTACCGTGTTAGCGAATGTTGTCATATGTTTGGTCTTTTACCCTTTACTATACCCAAAGTGTCCATAGAGTATATTTGGGTTTATATTATGAACAATTGAAAGAAAAGAAAGAAAGAAAAAGTATTAATTCGCGTCTAGGACGCACATAAGACACAGAACAAACAAGTTTTTAAAAACAAGAACTAAAAACATGGTAATACAATATAAAAAAAGAGTAATATAAGGAAAAATATCTGTCACAAACATGCGAAATGGCCCTCGTTCAGCATATGCAGCGACACTATGCGAGACAGTGTTACAGCGCTGATTTTCAGCGATGGCCGACGACTAACATTTCAATTCTCGTATAGATTCGAACAAATCTTGTACACCTAAATGCAGCCATGTTTCGGCAAATGTGCCGGCTCGACCGGAGTGATACGACGGCATCGCAGAAAACCGGCGTGAAGCAATATTTATAATAGGTTGTGTTTTGTCGTGTGAGTCACGTCGTCAATCCTCAAATCCCCTATCCTTAAATCCCGAATATCCAAGAAGAAGACCCAAAAGTAACATCTTTAGTATTGCGTCCATGGGCGGCGCTGATTACTTACCATCAGGTAATATGTTTGCCAACATATGCCATAAAAATACTCATTTATGCAAGACTTTCACCACTAAACACAGCCTCGTTTCATTTGCCATGATCCCTTTACTAGGCAAAGTAGGCGCACTGGGATTCACAGCTGCAATTTGTTCACAACAATCTGTAGAGGAAAATCCCAACATTCAGCTATCCCGCCCTGAGTCATCCAGCATTACTCATATCATATCAATGTGGTACTTGTCGTTGTTGGGTATTTCCATTTCAGAATTCACAGCTTTATAAAAATAAAAACTAATTAGATATTAGGTATTGCGCTAGCTAATAAAATAAAGTGATCAACTGATCGGATGGTTGGATTTGTATTTTTTCTCAACTGTCAAAGTGTCAGCAAAAACATTTCGCCATGAAATTCACTAATTTGAAGTATTTTGTAGAAATTCGTATGAAATCATCCGCGACCGACTACTTTAAGTGGCGATTGTCTAAAATTATCTGAAAATAATTATTGTTTTTGAATTACAACGACGGATTTGTTCAGTACTCATTTGATAGATTTTGGACGGAGTTGAGAAATGTGAATTTGTTGAATTAAAAATGTGGTATTAAACAATTTCTTTTATACACGCCCTTAGTAATTGAATACCAGCATTTAGTCAATATTTTAATTGGTCAGGACTCAGGGGTGACCTCAAAAATTTATTGATTTTAAAGGCTAGTCGTGAGGAAGATATTCTATAAGAAAACCCCATGGAGATAGTACCTACTACCTCGCACTCGATGTTTTTATATTACTAACATTGAGAGCTAGTATTAAACTATAACGTAACTCATATATGTAAATGATAAAGGACAAACATGGGATAAACTGAGTTTTCAATAAAATTGCATAGGAATCAATACTTTGAAATGAGAAAATATGTATTCACCCCCCTGGTGATCGAATTTTTATATGTATTTTGTTTGACGCATTAAAGCGGTCAACATGAATGATAAACATTGGCATAATTTAAATAGGCAATTTGACTTTGACTTCGAATTGTCGTAGTTCCAAATCAAAGTTTTACAGGGATGAGCAACGTCCTTTACACACATTACGACCTAGTTATACCGCATTAGCTGAGCATGCACGTGAATGTTAGGAAGCGGAAATGAGGCCATTACGATAGGAGATGTAGGAAGCCGACCGAGGCCGAGCAGTTCCGACCGCTGACGAACCCAGCCGAAACGACGAGCCTGCGCACGCGCACTTGCTGTGAAAATTATGCAATAAATGAATTAATTTAATAGAGGAACTAAAATATGATATAACAAGCATCCGTTGGCTGTTTCGCAATTTGACCGTCACCTTTTTGTGTGCACTGATTTAGTGTGATTTCTTCCTGATTTGTTTGGTGGGAAAAAGTCATATTTATTCATTTACGCACTTTCACCGGGTACACGCATCTTAAAAAAATAAGGACAAAATAAAAATATAAGCAAGTTTTACACCAAGATACGGTCTTCGATGTACTTAAACCCAGCTACAATATTCATAAACAAAATATCTGTTATAAGAGAAAACGTATATTTTATTCAAAAACTCTAATTTCTTTACAAAACGTTCGCTTAAGTTGTAACTTGTCCCCGTCAAGTGGCGTGAACAAAAGACATCAACGACATAAAGTGCTACGAACTCGTATCGGCTACGAGATTTTAATGTGAACTCACGCAGTGTGTTACAATTTCAATATTACGGCTTACGTTATATTCAGTGTTAGATATTGAAGGTTAATTTTGTATAAGGTTTTGTTTAGCGCTAAGTATTTATTGCTGTTTCTTCGTCAGGAAATGTTCAATTCAGTGACTCATAAATACTTATAGGGGTTACAATCAGTGAATTAAACATTTAATAGCAAGTAAGTTGTTTTTATACAAGCGTGGAGATTGAGACGAAAAATGCTCTACTGATGATGATGATAAAATGGTCTTTGTTTATACGCAAAAAACATTTTTAAGCATTTAGACAAAATATCTCCATTATCTACAAAGCGATGTTCTAATTTAATATGCTCACGTATACTAAACATGATTACCATTTCTATTACCCAAACAAAATAGAGTAATCTAACTCGATTAAACTCGATCCCGCTATTCTTAACCCCGGGATCGAATGACCCTTCGTGCCTTTCAGTCATCTTAAACCTGCAGGGCTTCATACAAAACAGAGTATTACGCCATGTCGCCCCCTGGATGTGCACGAATAACGGACTCGATTCTCGATCACGAAATCAAAGCGATTATGACGATTATAACTCGATTTAACGATGATCGGAACGTTCGGTATCGATTAATTGCGAGTACAATCACGAACTAGCGCAGTTTATGCGAATGAAATGATAAGGTTGTGATGTAATGCGACTGATTGGCTATTACGTAGTTACAAACGGAAATATTTGTGTAGAGAAGGATAAAATGTAGGAGCGGGTTTTCACAGAAGTACTTCGATAATATTTTCAAACCCATTTCATGAACGATGTTTCTGAGTTTTGAAAACTCATCCTTTGAGTTTTAGTCATATTTGGTAACTTATTTTACATAAGTTTAATACTGTATGATTGAATAAAGTGATTATGAATAGCAACGTCCTCACCTGAACAAAGGCCTCACCGTTCGTGTGGTTCTTACTTTTCAGATATAATGTGAATATAAAAAAAAAACTATAGTTAATCATTATCTTTTTATTTTTGAAATATCCAGTCCAAATACTTAACCTATCTTATAAATGAATTACTCAAAAATTGCACATTTTTTCCTATTTCTGATGACTATAAAATGGCACAGCGTGATGTGAACAATGATTCATCCATTTCGATTAGTTTATTGACACTCAAGGACATTAGAGGTCACGGTTCGATGGTGGGGTCACTGAACTGCACATTCCTCCTAATAATGTTAAAACTGTAACGATTGCTTCAAACAACAGACATTAGGCTGATAGAATTGAATGAATTTATTTAAAGAACAAAAAATCTATTGTACCTTTAAAGTTATGGACAAGTAACGGTGTTCTTTTATTGTAATATTGGAATTGGAGAATACTTTACTTCTAAACAAATCTGTATTTAGATTAAGATGTCTTTGAATCTATTTGATGCGGTGGTTTGTCGAAGTGTAATGTTAGATTTGTATTTATTTCTTTTTCCTGGTAAGCTTGTCGTGTCACAAATTTAGATGATTAATGTAGCTTTTTACTAGTTATGAAAACATTCACAAACATATTAGATTGTTGCTTTTTCTTAATTACAAATTATCAGCGGTCTGCTGGGAAAGCGGCTGCACCACAAAATGTGCACACGATTTAAGTGTTGGAGCCATGTGTTACGGCAAGAATGGGTTGTTTCGACCAGAGTTATACTACGATCTCATATAAACAACTTTGCATTGTACTTGGTCGTATTAGTGAGGTGACTGGGCCACTCCCAATCCTCTTCCTCCTCCAAATCCCTAACTTCCAAAAGGTCGGCAACGTTCAATTCTTTATCGTCATATAGGTCATTCATCCGCTAGTTTTCCGCAAAAATAAAGGGATTCTTACCGATGATTTCATAATAATTTAAGCAACAAATCGATAAAATTATAAGTTTTTTTTATCAGAACAATATCAAGAGATAATAAATTTAAGCTGCTAATTTATTTCGTGGCAAATATTTCTCACTAATATTTATCTTGTGATAAATCGCGGTTGATTTAGGTGGGTGCCGTTCATTTAGCAGTCTTTAAAATATTCTATTTGTAACCTACACGAACATATTATATGTATTACTGAATCAGAATTGTTTGTATCACTCACCGAACAAAAATGTACAGTTTACCATTTAATAGAAAAACAATTCTTATACACGTGTACCGTAAACATCGCCGTCCAACGAAGAATTCGTTCACCTTTAACTTTTGAAGAAACGATTCACAATAAATTGAAAATGTTTAATACATATAATATTTTCATCGCAAACTTGTACGTGATTCAACAATTTTATTGATATTGATTCTCTGGGATGGGTCTATTCTTGTGGCCTATCATTATGCCGGTCAGTGTTTTGACCCATCATTAGGTGGTAGCATTACGGACAATGCACTGTATCACGAAACTAAGTTTAGCCACGTTTACTTACATTTGTTTGCAAATATAAATGATCATTAGAATGTATCACGATTCAATTTAGCTCGCAATGTTTTATTCAATATAATTCTTTATTTAATTTTCTATTTCAATTTTACATATTGTTCTGGATATGTATGTGTGGGTAATTTCTTTTGTTTTATTTCAGATTCCTCATCGTGTGCTGTTGTCTTATTACCTCTAGGGTATGTTTTTTATATTCTTATTTTATGTGATTAAATTTTTTTTTTTGCTTTTGTGGAACTCTATGTGTTGTTTGCTGTAAAGTCGTAATGAGACCTTTGCGCTTTAGTTCAATTTTCAAGATATGCAGAGTTTTACTTTTTTAATTTGGATGTTTCATATTATATGTATAAATAATAGTAATCCGCTAAATGATATCAGCTCCATTCTCGTAAAAAATGAAGAATCGCGTGTAATGCTATGTTAAGCAACTGTATCCTCTTCTTTTGGAAGCCTTCTTTTCTTTTGGAAGGCGCCTGGAAAAAATAATGTGTCCAAGTGATTGAAGATTTGACTGAAAACGCACATTCCTCATCGACTGGTTTTGGCCCGGCGAGATTTATTAAGGAAGTAGCGTAGAGAGTACAATTAGCCTGTAAAATGTTTAACATAAGACCTTTCCCCAACAGGTCCATTCAGCATCACAGCACCTGGACTCGGCAGAATACTCGGAGTCGACGGAGGTGTCCATCGTGTCAGTTTCCTCGTCAGCGTCAGCTGAACTGCATGAGGGATCTGGCGATGATCCTCCTGACCCTGTCCTGTCCAGCAATCTAAAGGTTCATACATTTTTAACAAATACAAACTTTAATATAAAACGAAATGATTGAAAATCTATTAGCCTGCATGATTTTCTTTTTTTGATATCTACTAGAAATTTAGGGTTTTTTGGTCTTGCACATTATATACGACCATGTCAGCCCCACCGTGAACTAATTAATACATATTAACACTTTTCTAAGTTCCAAACCTTATATTATAGATACTATTTAGTAAAGTAAAATAGCTACATTCAAGGCAAGCTTCGATAATATACTTTGAACATGATTATTGGTTGGTAGTTGCGGTGTTAGTATGGCAGATTAGAATATCTATGTTAACCAAAGCAATCACTAAATAAGCTAAGACTCTATACTATAAAACAATTACAACAAAACACTTTTGTTTGCAGAATGAAACGAGAGAAGCCCTCAAGAGTGATGGCAGTGAACAAGATCCGGTGAGTGCATTATTTACTTCAAAATTAAGAAGTCAAACTGCTGTAGAACGTCACTACAGCAGTCAAACAAAACGGCAGAAAAAGAAAATTAGTTGTCTTTGAAGTATACGAGTGCTAGTATTCTTTACTTAGTTCATTTTTCAAACATATACGTATCAAACCCTGATCCTGAACGATAATTTGCGGATCACTTAGTGTTGTCCCGTGCGGGAATCGAACCCGCAACACAGATGTGCAGTTAAATTATAATTAAATACCACGTCAAGTTATCAACGAAAGTGATAAAGACACGTTAAATACTCAGTTTCACTTTCTTGTACTTCACTTTATTCGGCCACATGAGTGGATCAATGTACAAACTCATGTGAGTCGGCCTTGTGGAGTAGCAAGTAGCAACATGGCAACATGTAATACGTGTGTACATCCAAGTTATTACACCGCTACGAACAATGAACTATTCCTTGATATAAAAGAATACGCCACCGCGCGCCCTGTCTCTTTCATCGTGCTTAATGGCTCTGAAAATAGCAGATTTGTTAACTAGAATTTACAACTCAATTATTTTCCAGATTTTTACATTGTTCAATCTTTTTGTTCGCAAAGTCAATGACTTGAATATTGGACAGTTAGTTACTATTGTTGTCTTTGAGAAAAAATTGTCAATCTTAACGATGCGTGTTATGAGATCAGCATTATAGAAACATTAATAGAAAAGAAACTGGTTTAATTTACTTTCGCCGACGACCTAGGTAAAACAGATTTAAAATAGTTCAGCAAAGAGAATTTACAAAACATAGAAAAGCAAATTGGCCACGATTCGACTCAATACAATGCTGTAGTCATATAATTACTTGTTTTCACTTTTATTCAATTTTCCGTGATCTAGGAATGCGTGTATTCGAGGGCGCAAAATAAAAGAGTTGCAAGCCAAATAATCGTCACAGTTATCACCCAATTACCCGCGACTTGAACACAGAAGTGGGTGAAAGGTACAACATAATAATCACCAATTTACACCCATTTGAACGACCATTGATGGACTGATTGAAGGAATTCTTCTAAGAATACACGATTCGACACAGTATCTTTTCCTTTCGTTTTGCAGAATTGCAGCACTTATTTGTGACATTGGTTTTACGATCAATCTGTAAAGAAAGAACGTATGGTATGAGGCTTAGTTTATGAGACGGCGGACTACTTCGAGATGCAATTAAAATATAACAATGCACACGCAGGTGTTGCAGCTTGCAGATTACGAATTTCAATTTATCTTTTTGTCACAGTTAAGTGATTGGTGGAAAATGGTAATTTTGTTTGTATTTGGTTGTTATTGGAGAATAGAAAGGCGTGAAATGAAGGTTTAGAGGTGAGGAATAAATTGAAATATGACGTTGATTGGGTAGCGGGCTATTATTTCTGTTTCACGCGTGAGTTCCCGTGTGCTACGCATACGGTGGCAGTCAGCAGGTTGCTCAACGCGCTCGTACTCTAGTGACCGACTGAATGGAGGAGGCCACGCCGCCGCCGCCGCAGCCTCACAGGACTTGTGCAATATACAATATTCACGTTGCGAAGGGCTTCTCTAATCTGATCACGTTATCATCTGTAGTTCCGCTCTCAATTTATGGACTTTTAATAGCCATGTTGTATATTTTTTTCAAGAAAAACTGTGATATAAATCATACTCCTCGGCTAACGAAGCTAATTTATTATGTATAACTGTTGTCCTTGATGCTCTAACTCATGAATAATTCTTTATTTTTATCATCTATGATATCAGTTGTTCATCAAATAAAGTTAAAGTCTTGTCTTTATTCTTATCAAAATTGCCATTTTACACCATAAAACACAAACTTTTCACTGAGCTAATCGAATTAAGTCGTGAGAAACGTCCGCGAGTGTTACGCGCATTGTGTATTTGTGTTAGTACAGCGATATCCATCTGTGACCTGTGTTCAAGTGGCAGGATAGCTGTTCTTTGACTCACATTGCATCTAAACCATGAACGATGCGACGATCACACACCGCGTGACCTACAAACACTAACATCCCTTACAGTAAATGAATACCGAAATGATTAATTACGACTTTTTACAAGATTACTCCAACAATTATTATTGGGCACCATTTTATATTATTTAATAGAGACGTAATTCGAGATATTTTATTTGTATCAATATTTTGGAGATATTATAAGTGACTATTTGCGTCCGGGGTCACTCATCGCATCAAGGTAAAACCAAACAGCAATTTTATGTTATTCCTTGTTATTAAGGGTTTGGCTCTTTAAGATTGGTAAGAAACGGAAGCACCATTCGGAAGTCATTCACACCATCGACGATTCCATAGTCGCAATGGTTGACTGTCAATCTGTCAATATTTATTTTTAATTGTAATCATGCCGTGAAATGCGAACGGTTACGGCTCGACCGACATTATTTAAATTGGATAACAGTTACAGGCATTCATTAAATTCTTTATTACGTTGTGCCTATATTCAATATAACTTCAATACGTAAATAACGCTTTTAAGTAAGTAAATGTAAACTACATGAAAATTGAATGAAAGTGTTCTCAATTCGTGGCATTTCTATTTCGAGGGATAAGCGATGTCTCGGCGGACTATGATGTGGCCTGAATGGTTTTATTTGTTGTTTTATATTATTCGGAATCAATTTGTCAAAGTGATGTGGCGACGGGCGGCGCTTATCGCACTCTACTGGCCCAATTTTATAATGCGTAGGTACTGGTTGCCGGCGTGCGAACTGCCCTGGCATACTTACAGCCATTTACGTCTTTTTTGTGCAAAACTTTGAAGGGGTCGTGACTGTGAAATGGTGAATTACCGACGCCGTAATTCGTTAGTTTGTTTTGAATTTTTTCTCTGGTCAGATAATGGATGCAATCTAGTTGCAGTTGGTCACTGAGTGACTAAGGGTTTGTTTCTGAATATTTTTTGTTTGTCCATTTGAAAAACGTTTAAGGTGTTAATTAGCGGAGGTTGTGTTATTTGTTGAAGGCAGTCAAAAGTCGCGTGTGCCGGAAGGTGGTGGTTAGGCTTATGTTATCTCAGGGCTATCTGATTGCTAAACCTCCAGTGTGCGGAGTGTTCTTCATGTATGGAATGTAATACAAAATGAGTAATATTCAATTAAATATGGTAACAATGTAATACAGCATAACTGTTGTGCCAGTTTTAAACGGTCTTAAGGGTCAGTTTCGCAATTTCCGAAAGATGGTCAGCCGTCTATGAAGTATAAGAATTAAGTTGTTATGTTTACCATGAGTAAATTTTTATTATTAGCTGTAATCTGGATTTTAGTTGTTGTAACCTTGGCACGACACAAAATGTAAGTGAGTTTATGAAACAGCGGATACGGTGGTTGACAATGCTCTGATTATGTGCTTGCAATTAAATGTGTTTTTTTACGTGTTATGTTTTTAGACGTTGGATGGAAAACTGAGTTTTAGTCCCTACTTGATTTTTTTTCCAAAATCTATTAATAATCACAAACACATCTAAACATACATAAGGCTTTTACTTTTTAGCAACACAAAAAAGCTAATCTTAACTAACTATTGCATCTTGTATACAGGTGGTGTTTTTATCGGAGAAGAACAGCTACATACCAGTGAGCATCAAGCCTCGTTCTCCAGCAGTGGACACGGCGTGGAGAGAGCCACCGGCATGGGAGCGAGAGTACAGGAGACATCGCACTAATGGGAGCCGTGTGCAATGTAAGTTGGCTTATTCTTTTTTCTATTTCATAAAAGATACAAAATTAATTGATTCTTTATGATTTATTCTGTTGACTTACAATAAAAAACCATGCTTGATTATACCATGCAAGATACCAAATCCGTAAAACTGACATATAATTTCGCGGCCCTTTATTTTTATATTATAAAGCTACACTTTATAGCTATACTTTAATATTATAAAGCTGTCGAGTTCGTTTGTTTGTTTGTTTTAACGCGCTAATCTCCGGAACTACTGTTTCAAATTGAACAATTATTTTTGTGTTCCTTAGTCCATTTATCGATTAAGGCTATATACGCTACAAAACATTATGCTACGATTTGTAGGAGCCGAGCAGCGGGTGAAACCACGGGACAGTAACTAGTACATTATATTACAGATCAGGATTTTTTTTTCTTATTTTTTTGGAAACACGCCGATAGTGTACAATTACAAAACTATCGTATTTCATGGTAATGTTGGGACAATAGTATCTGCATAATCGATGTGTAATTATGCGTCCTGACTCACGTGAATAGTTCAATAAAAACTAATAAAATACTACACAAAGGGTTGCGCAAGGTGCCGCGCCGCCACGCGTTCCGCGAGATATCATCACAATTTGTATGCTTACACAATATTGTAAAGACAATATCTGTCAATGTATTTACTACAATCGCATAAAAATACGATCATTTAATACAAATGATTATAATACTTACCTATAGTAACTACGGTTGTTAATTAATTAAAGTAGCATTGCAGGTGTTATATGCATACGATGAAATCCCTAGCTCTGTAGGGTTTCCTTGAAAAATAGCTTATTTGTGAAAAAATTGTATCAATCATTTTATATTTTTGTCATCAGATATTGAAGCGGAGTGCCAAGATGACTTCATGAAGATAAGAGTCGGCTTTAACGGGTCATTCTCCGGACTGGTGTATTCAGCAGGTCAGTATCAGTTAACCAACTACTAATTACTTAAAAAGCGAAAATACTTTAATTTCGTTTTATAATCTTTTTTATTATTCTTACAGAAGGCTCACAGATTAATAGTACTTAAATATTTTCTATTTAAGTATAAGATTTGATACAAATAGTATTAATTTTATTAATATACAATTTTATGACCATGGGTTCTATTATTATAATTCACTGGTTATAATTTCAGCAGCTTACATTATTCTGATTGATTTATTCATGTTAATATTATTGTAGGACGATGTTCGTTAAATGTAGGTACCTACTAAAGTTTTATGTTTTTAATTACTAGCTTATCTTCGACTATAGATGCATATCGATCTCGGTCCTAATAAATTTGGGTAAAAGGCATTATATTAAATGAATATCTTTAATCTTGCCAGAAAATATAAGTTTGATCAACCGTTACCTTACTAAGAAAAGTCCCTAGCTATCTAGAGCTTCATTCAGTGCAGATAACTGAAACAATTAGCCGTGTAGGCTAGACGAGTGTCATTATCAACTTATTGTTACTTACGTCTCGGCGTCACTCACACAATGTCTGTTTGTTCTTTTGTAATAAACAGTGGAATATGACTGTGTTGGAGGCTCCAATTTTTTTAGGTTAGGTTGTAAAGAATGCTGCTTTGATGTGCATAATTCTATACGTCTCTTATTTAAAAATGTTTCGTCTGCAATACAAGTGTAGTCAATAAAAACAGTTAAATAATCGTTTGAAAAAAGCTCATTTAGCTACTTATCAAATAGTACTTAATACACACTAAAATATTCGAATATCCCGATAATCATTACGTAGACGATAAAAACTATTATACTAAATTTCCAGCCCAGCTCGCTATAAAATTTCAATTGTTTTTAATATGTCGAAATAGAGTTCATTTTCGCACGTATGATTATCGTACATGCCCATTTTCGCACGCACGTTCTCACATTAGCTCTCCATTTACTTACTACTCTGTGTTTGTACTACATGTGTTATCGTACTAAACTGTCAAAGGGCACGACCGTTATGTCAGATTTGACGATTTCGCGAGACGTGGTTGACGCTAATCGAGTCGGCGTCGCTGGATGAAATGTTCTCATAGTACTAACGGTACAAAAGGCCTGCTAACAAATAGACTATGAAGTAAATCGCACTGCCTATCACCAAACTGTCTCAATCAATCTGTTTTGGTTTGGTTACGTTGTTTGGGTGTCGGAATCAAATTGATTTTAGTAGTAAATACTAATAAGTTTACTTATACATCTAAGAAGGGTGTAAGGAACGTTTGTTAGTGGCGTTAATTCATATGATTGTAAATAAGTACCATGTATTTGGCAGTTTTATAAAAACCACCAGCTACAGTGGTGTTATAACTCCAAACGCGCGAAATTAAAAAAGGCGGTAAATTATTTTTATCATAGATCTGACCTTGAAAGTGAATTGCACGCGTATCAAAGCTAGATCGCCGAGTCTACTTAATCCACGTCAATAAAACCTAAGTGTATCACAGAGTCACGGGAAAACGTTTACCATAAGCCTATAGAAGCTATTACAAGATTACTGGATATTAAAATGTACAGTATTGTAAGTGTATAATTTGCCCTCCTAGTGTGAGATTAGCATTGTTTAGTGATTCGTGGGACAGTCGCTTACTTGATTCGCTCTACCGTTACACGCTTGAAGGAATATTAAATTACTACCTTTTAAAAAGCTTTTATTTATATTATGTTGTACGTTTTCTTGTTTTCAATGTTTGACTTCGATTTTATTGTTTTTTTATTTGTTAAAGTCTAGACTTTGTGAGGGATGCTTCCGGGGTTATGAAGAGGTCAATTTTTATGTTAATCACATAGGCTAAATTAAAATTGAATACATTCATACTCTAATAGTGGGGTAAACGTATTATGAGATGTATTGTTATTGTAAATAGCTAAAAACTATGTCATCAGTTAATGATTTTTTTGTAAGGTTTGTAATGAATTAGGTATTTATTGTGAGAGAGAGAAAATTTACTAGTAGGTGAGTATAACCAGATACCGCACCCGGTCACAAGTGAAACAGACTGCTAGTATTCTACATTTTGAGGTTATGTTGTTATAAAAGTAAAAACAGGTTGAGCAGTCATTAAGGTGACTAATGTCCATTCATAATTAAGTGTACAGAAGTAACAGGGGCTTTATGAGGTGTTAATTGGGACTATAAAAGTAATTACATAGCGTTTGCAACCATGCTAGTAGTTACGTGAACTATGCCACCGTTTCACTTAGATAGTAATTATATTAGGTATTTTGGTGTAAGTGAGCACGTTTACAGCGGTTTCGGTTTCATACCACTTTCTTTTAAAACATTTTTTTATAGCTGTGGTAAGGTCAATCTTGCAATTTTTTTGTGTATTAATCTCAATAGATTTTTTCCTACATTATTATATCTATTTGCTGGTTTAGGTTATTTTGTGATTTATTATACCTTTATTGTGGATCGACGTTGTGGGCATAGCGCAATGCCACTGCCCGGCTCAGACCAGGAGAGAGAAAGGGGTAGTTTTGAGTTAGTAAAAGCTTGACACTTCCTCTCGCCCACCCAAGGCGGGAGAAGTCATTGGATAGTCCCCTCTCTGCTACTTAAGAATTCGACATTTTGACAGGCATTCCCTATAAAAAGAGTGTAATTGAAATCCAGATGCAGTTGTTACCAATATCAGTTGTTGAAAAATGAAATGTAATTTAAAAAAAAAAAATTCACACATATTTATTTTGCAGGTTACTCATACGACCCGGACTGTATGTACATTAATGGGACGGGGCGTGATTACTACGAGTTCTACATTCAGCTCAACCGATGTGGAACTTTGGGGAGGAACGGTCAGCATGACGATAGCAGGAAACATCCTACTGTGAGTATACGCATTTATTAATATTTCCTTTACTTGTAAAATTGTGTTAGTATTCCGTATAGCTATTATTACATTATCTTCGTAAAGGTGTCCAGCTACCTCAGCAACGACGGAACGATCGCTTACTCCCAAATTTTCCCCTTTAATTTTCCACAATTAGGTCTGTTATCTTTAATAAGAACCTTCTGCTGACAATAAATAAACACACCCAAAAATAATTGGTTCTAGAGTTACGTGCTTACCAATACATTTCGTGATTATTTTTTTTAGTAAAAGATAAAAACCTCTCATATTAATCTACTTATATTGTAGTTTGTGAGGAGTATCGATGTTTATTACAACGAGTTTAAAAAGCACTTATGTAGAATATGATTTAGACTAACATTATACTCTTCTACTTATCCAGGTAATGGAAAGGCAGATGCTTGTTAAGATAATAATATTGTGGCAATAAAAGGATGCAAATAACTATGCACATATTAAAATATCAGTAGTATACTACAGAACTGCAACCACTGCAAGGCCTATCTAACTTGTAGGCTTATGTTAAAGGCTCTAGAATAAATCTGTTATGACAATGACCCTGCTAAGATGAAACATCAAGAAAATGACCACTTTATACCTTATTTGGTAGGGAATTAACGAGATTGGTGATCTATATGATGTTGTTTGCAAACAGAAGGCTTTGTGAGAACAAACTAGGCTTATTATGTTCTAGATCAGTTAAAATAAGATTGTAGAGCTCACGTACCTTTCTGAGCGGTGATAGGCGATATCATCTGAAGCCGAGATGACAGGATGCTTTTCGCACGACTATCGTTACATAGCATACCTCATAGTCATCTTATTTTCTGAATACTTATTAGCGTTATGTAGATATGTATTTTGTTGCGCAGTGAAGTCTATGAAAAGACCTGTTAAAGTTCTCGTAATTAAATAATAACTACCAGTGTTATTATTTGAATACTTATTGAGTGGATTACAATGTCTATTGTCTGAGTTCCGATACAAGATTCAGGAGAACTTTTATTTTACTTCTAGTCTGAAGTTCTAAGTCTGAATTTCTGCTTAGTGTACGAACCAAAATCTAGACTGCCTTTTCTTTCTATGAGTCCCTACATCGTGAGCGCATTCAACAGATGTAATGATAAACGAGGCACCATAATTGGGTAGCTTACTAGGTAAAATGAATGAATGATTTACAATGAATTAATAAAATATAATCATACTTTAATCCATTGAGTTGACGATAAAATTAATTTTTGATTCTAAATCTAAAATTAAAATAAGATAAAATAAGATGGATTATTTTTCATATAAAAGTATCTATGCTTTTGACGTTAAAATATCAAAACTTTATATGTTGCGATTTCATATAAAATTCTTAGATTAGTATCGTTTTTGACATTTCAATAAAAATATTGAATTTGACTAGTTGTAAACTACCGGATTGCGGCTCTTTCAAAGTAGGTACCTACTCGATAAGTAAGCAATCAAATATAATAAGTTTTATTAAAACTCTTTTACCTGTATTTGTCTGACAGAAGAACCTCATGTGGAACACGATCACGGTGCAATACAACTCGTTGATTGAGGAGGAGTTAGACGAGCACTTCAAGGTCACCTGCGAGTATGGATACGACTTTTGGAAGACCGTTACATTCCCTTTTTTGGACGTAGAGTGAGTAAAATATGTATTTTTAATACTTATGCTTTAATATCTTGTCGAACTACTTCTAACTCATAGATTTCTACTAGTAATCTAGTTTCCTAACACTGAATTACCGATACCCTAAAAAACTGCGAGAACACGTTTCTCCGGAAAGAAATTGACGCAGCTGTGGTTTCTGTAACCTATGGATGTTCTACTTTAAATAGATGAATTGCTTGAGTTTTTCGCAAAAAATATTTTCAGTTCAATTTCATTGCGAAAAAGTGAAATTTCAAACATTTATTTATTTTATTTTCAAACCACAAAAATGTTCGCAAAACCATGGCTGATAGAATTTGTCGCTGAGGCGTCGCGCACGCATGATCTTGTTGACACAGATTGTGATGCGATTATCTGTGACGATCGGTGATAAAATGAATTATCATAACCATAACTGCATGTAATCGGGGAACTGGATTTTATGGCAAACTAGGGCATTGATGAACCCATTTCTTATTGGTGCATTTTCCTGTAATTAGGTAGGTAGGTCAATCAACAGCATTTTTGTAACACTTGAATTAAGCAGTTCAAATCAATACTGTTTTCATTGGTAGCCCACAGAGGCCCTAAGAGAAGTTTGCCATGACCTTCACACGGTGGTAATTTTTTCTCAGAAAAAGCTGCGGTCGCGTAAAATTTAAATTATAGGTATAATAAATATATTATCCTGCGGACGGGGTTGCGAGCAATAACGTACCGTTTTTTTTTTTTTTTTTGCGGCACTGGGAAAAATGCTATTACGCATACCCTTCCCGTCGGGGGACGGGAGAGGGTTATGTGGGACTCCCCGGTAAAGTCGTTCCCGGTATACCCACTAAAAAACCCAGTGGCACTCCGGCCTCGCCTGAGTGGAGGGGGTCTGGGAATCCATGACGTCCAGTCCCCCACCGGCGACTGCCCGCCTCATGGCAGGCCCCTCAATTCCCCCCTAGGGAGGAGCCTTTATGATGGCCGGAGCACGGGTGATGCGTGCGATGCTGGCGCTTGCGCCCCCGCGCTTGTCGCCCGCTGATCACCCCCTGGAGCAGGTGACGACGGACGTTGTGTACGCCGTCTTCGTCCGCCCCTTCTTCGCTGGCGGAGCGGCGCTGCGAGAGGATCTTCTTCCCGCATGCGCTCCGCCGCCTCCTTCTGTGACATGACGTCCTCACAGAAGGAGGCCACCGCTGCCCATGCCTCCTCACTCCCCAGCATGGATGTTATGACGCTGGGGAGCGAGAGGTCGTTCCCGACCGCTGCCACCAGGGCGCGGCGGGGTTCGTCCCACGATGGGCACACCTCTAAGGTATGCTCTGCAGAGTCCACCGCGGCGCCACAGTGGTGGCATTGTGGCGACTCCTCCCTCCCTATTCGGTGCAGGTACGATCCGAAGCAACCATGCCCGGACAGGACCTGCACCAAGCGAAACGACAGGCAGCCGTGCTGCCGATCGAGCCAGTCGATCAGGACGGGCCCGATGGCGTCCAACGTCCGGCGACCAAACTCTGCGGAGGCGAGTTCCTCAGCCCAGTGCCGAGTGATGGCCTCCCTCACCTCTTCCCGCACATTTTCCCGTTCCCCAAGGGCCGGGGACCGGTTGAGCGCCCTCTGCTCCGCCGTCCAGTCGTACACTCTGGCGAGCACCCATGCCTCGAGCTCCCAAGGAGGGGTACCCGCCAGAGCGCACGCCGCTGCGAAACCCACTGTGCGATATGCCCTCGCCACCCGCTGTGCAATGGCCCTTTGTGGCCTGCGGATGGCGGCGACGTTCTCCCGTCTGCACAGTGAGTCCGCCCAGATAGGTGCCCCGTATAGGGCCATGCTCTTCAGAATGCCGGCGTATAGACGCCGGCACTGGTCGCCAGGTCTCCCGAGGTTAGGGAGGAGCCACGAGAGGGCGCCCGCAGTCCTCAATAGGCGTGTTGATAGCCCACTGAAATGCGCGCTGAAGCGCCACTTGCTATCGAGGACTAGGCCCAGGTACTTCATCTGGGCCTGCACCCCAATGCGGACACCCTCCACGTGAATGTGCGCGTCAGGCGGTTGGCGTTGCCGGGACCCGTGGAAGAACACTGCCTCGGTCTTGTGCAGCGCCACCGTCAGCCCTAGGCGGGAGACCCTCTCTACCACCCTTGAACCACCCGCCGAAGCCAAGCTGGCCGCCTCTCCGAAATTTCTCCCCCGGGCAGTGAGGAGCGTGTCGTCTGCATAGCAGATGACAGACGTGCCACGGGGGAGGTTGCCCCGCAAGAGCCAGTCGAACCCGATGTTCCACAGGAGTGGTCCTAGAACAGAGCCCTGCGGAACACCGGACTCGACGCGGTACCTTCGCAGCTGGCCAGACTTGTCCACCAGAAGGACAGTGCGGTCCCGCAGGTAGTCCGCCAAGAGCTCCCGCAAATAAGGAGGCACCCCGTGAAAGCGGAGCGCCTCAAGAATGGTGGAGTGGGGAATGGAGTTGAAGGCGTTGGATATGTCGAATGACACCGCCAACAATCCATCCCCCGCATCCATCGCCTCCCTCGCCTGCCCCTTGAGTCGGGAGAGGGCGTCGACAGTCGAGCGTTCAGCTCGAAAGCCGAACTGTGCGTCCGACAGGTCCGGGCCAATTGTGCTCAAGTGTTTGTTGATGCGGGCGGCGATGATCCGCTCGAACATTTTGCCGACCTCATCCAGCAAGACGATGGGTCGGTATGCCGATGGGGAGTCAACCGGCCGCCCTTCCTTCCGAAGGAGGCACAATTGGCCCTCCTTCCATGGCTTCGGGAACCTCTTACGCGTCAGACACGCACTGAAGAGGTCCCGAAATCTTTCCCCCATCTGGAAGGCGGTGATGGCCACCACTTTTGCGGGGACGCCGTCCGGACCTGGGGCTGTCTTCTTCCCCCGGAGGCAGAACGCTGCCCTCTCCAACTCATCAACCGTCACTGGATCGACTTCCTCCTCGACCGATGGAGCCATAACCCGTGGGGCGCTCATCACAGGCGGAGCGAAGTTGCTGTCCCTGCGCGGAAACAGGGACTGGACTACCTCCTCCAGCAACGACGGCTCGAGGGTCTCGGACACTGGGGGGCCGTACGGGCGCAGTTTGTTGCGCGCCGCCCTGTACGGCCTACCAAAGGGATCAGCGTCTAGGCCCTCGGCCATCTCTTCCCTCGCGCGATCCTGTGCTGAGCCCATTCGGGCCGTCAGCTCCCTCTTTGCCTCCACGTAGGCTGCGTAAAGGCGATCCTCATTGACGAGGTCTCGGTTACGCCGCCGCCGGCTCCTGGTGTAGGCCCGCCTGGCTCTCACACATGCGGTCCGTAGCTCCACCAATTCCTCTGACCACCAGTAAACGGCGCGTCGAGGAGGTGGACGGTGGGACCGAGGCATGCAAGAGTTGCAAACCTCGGTCAGGGAGTCCCTCAACTGGGCTGCCGTGGCATCCACATCGTGGACGTCGACAGGTGGCGACAGCCAGTCCTGGACGAACGCCGCCTCCGCTGCAGCTTCCCGGTCCAGGCGGGTAAGCGCCCACCGCGGGAAATGCGACCGAACCTCGCGCGCCCTAGGAGAGCCCTGGGTGGAGATGTCGAACCGCACATATCGGTGGTCAGACAAAGTCTCCACCCGCTCCACCCGCCAGTCTACTACGCAGGCCGCCAAAGAAGGGGAGGCGAAGGCGAGGTCCACGATGGAGCCCCCCTCCCGCCGCACGCAGGTGTGGACTGTGCCTCTGTTTAGAAGGGACAGTCCGGATGAGACGGACCAGGTCTCCACCTCGCGTCCTCGTGCGTCGGTGGTCGGGTTGCCCCATGACACTGACTTGGCGTTAAAGTCGCCCACGACAAGGACCCGCCGCTGCGCCACTCTATCTGCCACACTGCCGAGAAGGTCCAGGAAGTTCTCGAACTCCGAGAGAGGGCGGTTTGGGGAGAAATACACCCCTACGAGGGCTATGTCTCCCCACGCGGCGGCCACGTATCCCGGTCCCCTCTCTAAGAGCGAGAGGGGAGGGGAGTCCGTGGAAGACCGCGTCACCAGTGCAACCGAACCGCTATCGTCACCCAGCCAGCTGCCAGGGACAGAGTACGGCTCGGCGACAACCGCCACGTCCACCAACCACTCCGCAAGGGTTTGGACCAGCAGGTCCTGGGCCGCTCTGCAGTGGTTGGTGTTTGCCTGTAGAACACGTCGACGATGTCCAGCCATTAGTCGGTGTTCATGGCACTTCCCTCGGAGGCCGGCACTGGAACTGGGGTTTCAGTGACGGCGGCAGCAGTGGCAGGTCGCTGTGGCGCCTGGACTTTGCCCTTCTTTGTGGGTGGGCGGCACTTCCTGCCCGTCATCACATGGTCGGCTGGACGACCATTGGCCGCACACACGACGCAATGCGGAGCAGTTGCCTTGCAGGTGGCCGACCTGTGCCCCTCTTTTCCGCAGCGGAAGCAGAGCTCCTTGCGCTCGGCAGATGACGGACAGAGAGCCCGGGTGTGGCCGATGCCGAAGCACTTGAAACAGCGCATCGGCTCGTCCTCAAGCGCTCGGACCCCACCCGAGCTAAGCCCCACTGGCAGGCGACCCTTGGCGAGGACTGCCTTGGCACTTGCGATGGGGCACTCCAAACGCATCGTGCCCATACCCCCGCGGCCTGGTCTGATGGTGCGACCCTTGACCAACTCGACGGCGCAGCCTCCCACCGCCGCAACCGCGGCTACCACCTCTTCTTGCGTGACCGAGTCGTCGAGATCGGTCACCTCGAGTGCCACACATTTGACCGGCCTCACGACCTTGGCCGTGTCCGCGACAGCCTCTCTCAATTTCGAGGCAAAGAGGTCCGCCTTGGTGCCGCCTTGAGCCCCGGAGAACTCAAAGATACGAGCCCCCGTTTGGGTCCTTCGGCACGTGACCCTGCCCGCCCCGAGTTGCGTAGGGTCGACGTTAGTGCGAGCCCGTCGTAGTACGGACTCGTACGTCTCCCCTCGCTCCTCTGCTTCAGGGGTCAGCGTGACCACTACGGCTGCGGATTTCGGAGGAAGAGGGAGTTTCTTCCTCTTCTCCGCTGCGGCTGCAGGTTTGGCTGCAGGAGGCTTGGGGGCCACTTTCTTCTTCCCCTTCCGCTTCTTCGACACCACCTTCACCCACGGCTGGTTGGAAGGGGTGGTGGAGGGCAGCAGTGGGTCCTCCCTCGGAAGGTCCTGAGGGACCGTCTGGGCAGTCGGGGCGGCCGGGGTGGTCTTCTTCCCCTTACCCTTTCCCTTGCCCTTGGACTCCCGCTGGGCTGGGGCCGTTGAAGGACCCGGTGCGCTAGGGGTCCTCTCGGATACCTTATCCGCCGCGAGTGGAGGGCGAAGCCGCTTCTCCGGAAGTAGCCGGTCCTCTATTCCTGCGAAGCAGGCCCTGGTGAAGGCCCTCTCCTCCATTACGACCTTGCGGATGATTTCCTCAAGGTTGGAGGGGGCGGGCATCGACGCTGGACCTTCCGATGTCCCCTCAGGCCGGGCCATGAGCTCGGCAACGCGCGCGTGCAGCGCCGACACCTCTTTTTGCAGGCGATCCACTTTCGCCTGCAGTTGCCGCGTTTCGTCGGAGGTGGTGCGCTGTGCCAACTCCTTGACGATGCCGAGCAAGCTCGCTGCCCGGCATTTCAGGGCCTTCTGGAAGGTCCCCTTCAAATTGGAGGACTTGGAGGCCACCTCCAGAATCTCCTGCTGATCCTCCAGAGCCATGCGCTCCATTTCCTCTACGGAGTGGTCCGCGTAGAGGACGCTGGAGGCGCCGTAGCCAGCCTTGGCTCTGGTGGTTCTCGCACGTTGTTCGTTGGAAGAGATCCTCTCTTCCAAGTCAGCCTGAATCACCGCCCGCTTCGCAGGCTTCTCCGTTTGGTCCGGAGAGCCTCTGGAGTCCTGCCTAAGGAAGGCCCGCTTTCTTGACTGGCGTGTGGAACCGCAAGTCGTGCCACTCAAAATCGACTCGTTGTCGGAAAAGTCCGACACGATGTCACTACCACGTGCTAGACTCGCCGCAGATGGTGCGCGGCTGGTCTCTGATGCCGAAGCATCCCGGGATTTAGTTTGGCCCTGAGAAGGGCCTTTTGGTTGGCCCTGAGAAGGGCCTTTGGGTTGGCCCTGAGAAGGGCCTTTGGGGAGAAAACGCCCGGAGGCGTCCCTCAGTGGTTGTGGCATTGCCACCAACAATATCGGAAGCTCACGACAATTAAAGCAAGCGATTCACAGCGTTCGTTAGCCGCCGGCCTGCCACTCCGTTACGGTGGTCAGGCGCGACGTTGCCCAGGGGTCACTACGAGGAAGTCAACGCTGTGGGGGGACCCCCAGCAATAACGTACCGTGGCTCGACTCTGAGCAGAAGATTGAATAGAATTGTTTTTAGTCAAAATGAAATCAAATCAAAATCAAAATCATTTATTCCAAATAAACCATAAATAGGTACTTTTGAAACGTCAAAATAGAATAGTAGTCTGTCAGTCTGTTCGTCAGTGAAGCTAGGTGCTCGTTCCAAATTGTAGTTTCGAATGGAGAAGAACGAGCAAGAAACTCCATCGTTACTCTTTTAAAAAAAATATTTGTTTTACAATTCATCAATAATACATTTTTTATACATTACTGTACCCCTATGTGAGAACAATGCAGAGACAAGTTGTTAATAAAAAGGAACAAATGATGGTCTATTTAATCTATCATTAAAATTTTAATCCTTTGTTGTTTCGTACATGGCGCTCACATATGCGTACTCACAATCCAAAAGAATGCTTCTATATAAACTCATTCAAGGTTTCATTAATTTTGAGAATTTTGATAACTACTGACTACATATTTGAGAATTGTCCAGTGGAGCCGAACCAACATGCTGCCAGGCATTCTTATCCTCAATATAATCTGAAAGTTTGTAGTATGCCTGTCTACATAATTCGCGTTTAATATAAGTTTTAAATTTTCGTTCATTAAGATTTAATACACTTCTTGGAATTTTATTGTAACAATTTACACAGAACCCCATAAAGGATTTCTGTACTTTGGACAGACGGAATCGTGGCACAGCCAGCCTATCTTTGCCTCTAGTATTAAAATTGTGTCTATCGCTTCTTTTTTCAAATAATTGCAAATCAGTAAGACACTCCCTCTTGCCCTACTTTTTTATGGCATCTGCCTTCAAAAAAGTAAGTTATACTAACCTACATACCTTTATCATGTTCCAGGGTAGCGACAGGCAACCCTGTAGTGTTTACACTGCAGCCGCCTGAATGCTACATGGAGATCCGCTCAGGGTATGGTGCTAACGGAGCTCGCGTCTCAGGGCCCGTGCGCGTTGGCGATCCGCTCACCTTGCTTATTTACATGAGGAGCGCTTATGGTATGTATTCAGATATTCTACATTTAAATTTGGATGTTTATAGGGTTCTGTACATTTTACATTTTGTGTGTCTACAATTTAGTTAAGCTCGTCTGGTTGTGTTGTGTGTCTGAATATTTTAGAGAACAGTCGCCGTACGCAGACTCGTATCTCGTATGGTTTAGAATATAGTGTTTACTTTCAGATTATAGTGTTCTTAAATGAAGATGGTGCGGTGTTTATCGCTTAATCAAAAACATATCTAATACTAGAGTAAACTTGCTGTAGCCTAAAACACGCAACGAAATACCTACCGACCATGTAAATCGATATGGTTATAAATTGAAATAAAAGTAACAAAATATCGGTAAACTAGGTTCTGGTAATTGTCATCAGCAGTTATGTTTTACCGTAGTACAAGTGAACTACATAATTTTAAGTATCAATAACAATTAAATACCGTAACCTAAGGGCGAATATCATAACGGTCAAGCGGCAAACATCGCATGTCTACTTGCAATGCGGCTCCAGAAATATTTCAATCAGTTTTACTTAATCAAGATCTTGCGTTTTTGGTAAATTTTATTATATGGAACGGTATGGGAGCAATGACGTTCGGTGAAGTATGTCAGAATATTTTAAAAGGAATTGTTTAGGTACTATAGCTGGTATTCGTATACCCATAGGAACGCTAATCGTTTTAGCACTAATTTTGTTACCTAACCTACAATAAGTATAAACTAGTAGCGGTTGAAGATATAGCTCGAATAAATACGCAAATCAAGTACCTATAGTTTATAGCCTATATTTATTTATTTATATTTAAACATTACATTCATCATTACAGGCACACCTAATACGATAAATGCAGTTACATATTATTAGTAAACTTATAACACAATATCCGGGTAATAACCGTAAAATAATTTAGACAAAGAAAAACAAAAGAACATAAGCACAAAGAACCTTAATTAAACTTACAGGTTAATACATTTCCACAAAACTATCCCTAATAAACGTATGTAGCACTAAGGTACATTGTAGCTATTTTTTTTATGTAATAGGTCGGCAAACGAGCAGACGGATTACCTGATGGTAAGCAATCGGCGCCGCCCATGGACACCCGCAACGGAGGAGTTACGAATGCGTTGCCGACTTGTTAGGGATTTGGAGATTTAGGAACTGGGGAGGGATTAGGGAAGGGGAAGGATTGGGCCTCCGGTAACCTCACTCACACGGCGAAACACAACATTGTGGTTGTTTCACGCCGGTGAAACAACCACAGTTATCTATCAGTGAATGAGTGTTTATTTACACTAGAAAGATTTTCAGAATCATGTAGATACTTAGTTTGAAAACGATGTCTTTTTTGAGCTGAGCTACTTTTACCGCGGTTATGGATATACATACATAGATATCTCAGAAATTCAAATTCGTTAAGAAAGAGTTATGTAATAAACTAAACTTTTACGTTACTTTTTGTTTAGATGGATTCGACATTGTCGTGAATGACTGCTTCGCTCACAACGGTGCAACCAAACGGATACAGCTTATTGATGAATATGGGTAAGTCGAGTTTCAGTTATTAGTTTGTAGTGTTGTATCTAAATATTAACCATATCTACTATGGTGCAGACGTCACCTGTAAGCAGTCAAAATCTAACTTTGAAAAACAAGCCCAATCCTTTCCCATTTCTGAAATATCCGGAACCCCAAACCCCAAAAGGCCGGCAACGCACTCGTAACTGCTTTAGCGTTGCGTATGCACATGGGCGGCGCCAATGGCTTACCATCAGTTATTCCGTCTGCTCGTTTGCCGATCTATTCCATAAAGGAACAAGTCTCAACCGTTGGCAACTCCAAGATTATTAAAATTTGTCGGAAGGTACATTTTTTATACCTTAATTTGATTTGTTTTTTGTTCCAGCTGTCCAGTAGACGACAAGCTGATCTCTCGTTTCCGCGGCTCATGGTCGGAGTCTGGCGTGTTTGAGACGCAAGTGTACGCGTATATGAAGACATTCCGGTTCACTGGGTCGCCTGCGCTTTACATCGAGTGTGATGTCAGAATGTGCCACGGAAGATGTCCTGTGAGTATTTAACTGCTGATAGAGCAAAGCCTTTGTAGTGATCTATGTGGCCTTTCGATTTACGTGCTGACGATTTTTGTGTTCATCACTACACTGCTATATGTGGTATCATTATTTCACAAAATGACAGTAGGTCATGTCAAATCAGAAATCGAATTAAAATTCTGACTATAGCACTACCGATTTCTAATACAAAAGTAGAAATCGGATACAACTTCGAATGCGTTTTTTTTCTATGATCTACAATCAATGTAAAAATAATGTAAATTCTTACCTTATCTTTTCACATTTGTTGATTTCAGTCTCAACCATGCCACTGGCGCAACATGAAGAGCGTTAAGCGGCGGTCCATTGACACGAAGCCTGGTTTGGACCCTGCCTCGAGTGTCGCTCCACGTCTCTCCGAGAACATCTCACTGTTCCAGTCACTTAGAGTGCTGCAGGAAGGCGAGGAAGATCCAGAACTAGCAGCCAGCACAGGCGGTAAGTACTTAAGTAGTATTTAGTTGCAATCAGAATTAGTCTGAAGACTAAATATTTATTTAGTTAGTTTGCCAACCTGAAGGATAATACTCATATTGCTTCTAAACCAACGGTTAATGCGCAGAAGGCAGGCTTAAGGAATCAAAGCTATACCGTAAAACGGGGCGAATAGAATTTGAGGCGTGAATTGGTACCTACACAAAAGGGGTGCTTAGATGTTGGCGAATTTTCCTAGTATATATTCACCCCTTGAATTCTATTTACCCCATTTTACCGTACTGCAGAGGAGCGGATCAGGTCGCACAGCAGTCTTGTACTTTAATGGAATCCTCGTCTTTGAAGATAGAACTAGAAGAGCAAATATTCATAATTGCCAGGACGTTTCGACAGATGCTTTTAAAACCCCCATTAAATTTGAAGGCTTTGCCAGTTAAATTTATGAACACGTCGTTTTAATTCCCAGCTACTTCAAGTAAGTTCCTTTACAAAAGCAATGCTTAATGTTTCCAGTAGCTCCTGAAGGCCAGACTTGTATGAGGACATCAGCGTTGTCGGCCATCATGGTGTCATGCGGAGTGCTTATCGCTGCATTATGTGGAGGCGTATTAGCGGCCGCGCGAGGGTTTAGGCGCGGAGAACCAAGAACACCCCATCATGCATATGTTCCCCATAAAGGAAGGATCAAATAAATATTATCTTAATTTAAGTACAATTTAGTAAGTTTGCGTGTGAAATTAATCTTAGTGGAATGGTTGTCATTACTAAAAGTAGATTCTTGAAGGAATAATCTGTTTGAGATTATTGAAGGATTGGTAGATGAGATGTCAATTTTATCTGATTCTAATGTTTGTAGAAGTTCCTTGCACAATTATTATTTAAATAGCCACACGAACAGAATCCCATTTGTTTCAGTAGTTTTGTTTTACTTTATTTTACGCAGTAAGGATTTGGAAATGTTGGTATATGTACGTAGGTATATTTTATTTTCCTTGACGGTGTTTTGATTCGAGCATTCACTTAGTAATCTTATCGCCAACGACTAAATATTGCCAAAACTGGAATTAGATCCAAATTTAAAGTAGATTTCTGACATTCATTACCAGCTGATGATGCAGCTGGGAGACATTCACTTGTAAGTAGACTCACCTCTTAGGTACTTCTCCACGTCAAACGAAAAGTTGCCACTCGCATCCATTTAGGTGGGTACTCCCCTAGACTCTGACGATTATTGGGACTCCCTACAAGATATCTGCCGACGCGTCGGGACGTCTTCCGGTCCGTGGTCCTAACTCGAGCACTTTGCTAACTCTGCGATTTCTGGACATAACTTTTTTTTTTCTGTCAAATACTTAGATCGACTTTCAGATATGTTAAGTATAAATTTCGTTTGATAGACAGAAAGGTCCGTTTTATACCCAATTTTTACATTTAGTTTTATTTTGATAATAGACTACTCATCATAAAGTGCAATTGAACTGTAGGACAAAAAAATGGTGCCTTTAAATTGCCTTTTTAATTTTAACTTCATACCCTTAGTAATAAGGTTTAGATTACAAGAAATGTAGCTGTAATAAGCATGTAGTGTACATTAATTTATGTTCTTTATAATACTAGGACAAATTGTGAGGATCTATATTTTTATGTAAACAAAATATACCTCCTCCGTTTGTCTGTTACTATTTATGTATGCAGTTCTCAAGTTGTGATAAAATAAGTATTAAAATAGAGTTAAATACATCTTAAATCATTAAGTAACAAAATAGTGCTTATTTTGTGTGTTTAGTTGTAATCAGTAAGTATTGCCAAGTTCATAAAAAATGGTTCCGAAAAATCCTGCTTTTCATAATAATAGGTACCTAAAGATTATCTTCTTATTGCATAGATTTTATATCGAATAATTTTATTTATAAATATCAAGAAAATACCATATCAAAATAATAGCGCTTATAAGGCAATTACAATATTTTAGCTTATTTTTTGTAACTTAGGTATTCTTAATGTCTGTACATATTAGTTTTGGGTTTATTTAAATTTTATTTAATATTATAATTAAATCGTATTTAATACTTTATATTATTTATACGAATGAAATGTATCTAACAATAATAAATATGAGTATTATTAGATACATTTTAAAACGAAAAATTAAATAATTTATAAACATGTTTTTGTTTTAATAATTTATCCGTTTGCAAGCCGAGTTGCTTTTATTAAAACTTACAAAAGCCTAGCCGTGTTTTGCAATGATGCTTCATGTACTTAGTCGCATGAGGTGATGGATTTAAAGACGGGAAACCCGTGGTCTCGAGGCTGTCTCACTAATGGTAAACCTGCGATACGCGTCTAAGAGTTGCTTGGGTGAATGATTATTTCTAATTCCATCCTGACAGCAACCTTTCGTCACTTAATATGATGCAAATCGCCCTGAAAGTGTACATCTCTAAATTTTCAAGGTCTGAACTCTTATCTCAGTGCACCACCACATTGAGACTGAAAACCCTACTATCCTACCATAAAAAAGGTTTTCTCTGCAGAATGCACAATTTGGGCCACATTTATTTATTTATTTATTTACATGTGCGTAATGTATGTTAATATCTATTAATATGAGATATTATGATTTTTTTTGCATCCTATTTATTTATTTATTTATTTACATACCACAAACACTTTTATGCATTATTATAAAAAGTCATTCACATTAACTCACTATGTAATTAAAGTTAGCTAAAATTATTACTACTTCTTAGAGCTGTAACTGTTACCCATACATAAAACAACTTGAGATTGAAAACTACAAAATCCTTGGACGAAATCCAATATTAGAAAACAAAAGGTGAAAGCATAATAAAATATCGTATCGTATGATGTATGATGATGTATCTATCGTAGCACTATGACGTAACATCTTGCTCATGGTCCTTTAGATGGATCCTGGCAGTTGCTTTGTGCCGACATGTCGATTGCACGATCCGCAACGCTGCCAAGTCTTGTAAAACACACAGCGTTGTGTTTCGCCGTGTGAGTGAGGTTACCGGAGGTCCAATCATTTCCCTCCCCCAATCCCTAATCCCCAAAAGGTCGGCAACACACTTGTAACTCTTCTGTTGTTGCGGGTGTCTATAGGCGGCGCTGATTGCTTACCATCAGGTAATCCGTAAGCTCGTTTACCGACATATCACATAAAAAAATACACTCGAATTGAGAACCTCCTCCTTTTTTTGAAGTCGGTTAAAAAACAATTAAAATATAAACATTAGTACATTACCCCCGTAATAACTCCCTTCCGTTTTAAACTCAGCTATGATGGATGATTCTTAATATAATAAATACGAAATATGTTTTGAATTTGTCACAACGCATTAACTTTCGTACTTGTAAGACATTTATACCTTTTGGAGCGAGGATTTACGTCGTGAGTAAAAAGTTTAAATTTCGGAAAATTAAACACAAGAAAAACACAATATTAAGTATATTAAAATAATAATTGCACACAAAAGTAAGTACATTACAACTAAAAAACAATAATAAACACACAAACAATATAACAAAAAATCCCAGTAATTGAAATTCGATGTAACTAAAAATATTAAATTAAGTAAGTAAATATTATCTAATCTAATATTCATATAAAAAAGTTGTAGGTAGGTACTTACGACAAAAATATTCCATTGAAGGTAAAACTGAATACTGAATGAAACATTAACTTGATTCAAAATTAAATTATTTAATTTGTCCGAGTCCGTTTGATTTGTTTTTAACAAAATTATGAATATAATTGACTCGAATTTGATTATGGTGGAACATTTTTGGTTAGTAAACTTTTTACTCATAAATATACAAATACTGTCATGATTTGATCGCAGTACACATTTATACTTATTTACAGTATATTTGATGAAAATAATATCCATATTTATGATAAATATAAGGATTTTTTTCTTCTATTACCGGCCTAGATACAATTAGATAATAAATAAATTTGACCGCAAGATCAAGTCTAAAACAAAACTTTAAAAGGATATATTTACAGCGATTTTAAAAATGCGTCCATTCCTATTTCAGATACACATTATTAATATAATTTAATAATCGAATTCAAACTTTCATTTATCAGCATTATAGGTATTTATAATTGATATAGAACAAGATAGTTGGAACAAATGTTTATACATTTGCCATCATAGATGTGAAATGTTTGTAAACAAACTATAAAGGTTTTCATCTGGTCGTACTAAATCAGTAGAAAATCATTTTCTGTGCTTCCCTATATAATTTGCTATCACGTAGGCTTGTCACTGAATAGAGTGAGAAGGCGGGAGTGTCCGTTTGCGACGGGACTATCAACACGTAATTCCACCTTCATGATTTTGTTTACATTTTACATTGATCTTGGTCAAGTAATAGAATAACCATTTGTTCTATACTTTATAGGATGTATATTTGATAGAAGGTTTATTTTCATCAGATAGATAATTATAATTATTTTGATTTCTCCTCAGCAGCGGTGGGTACTTTACTTATAGTCTCTTCCAGATACTTCATGGCACCCTCTAACATTTGTACTTCGCATTTCTTTAGCAGCTTCACGTTCTTCCTGAAATTTTGATATATTAAGTAGGTAGGTAATGGGTAGTTTTTAAGGTCAAGAATGACTTAGGTCTTGTGACTTTTCAATAAAAAGTTGTTAAAATATAATATAATACTCAATTTTAGTAATTTCCCATAAGCCATTTGATGTGGAAACATTATTACTTTATAAATTAAGATCTCGTACAAAATTTATAAAAAGTAGTGTTTTTGCATTTCAATAAAGGTATTTAATTCAATTTGTTGTTAAATACCGTACTAGATTAAAAGAGCGTAAAATTTTGTATTACAGTTGCTACAGTAAAGACATTTAATAAGGTTAACAGTTTCAGGATGTCTCGTGTATCTGAATAGCTACTCCACAACCGTAAAGAATGTATAAATATTTTTTTTATGTTTGTTTCTTGTGTAGAAAAAATTGACTAAAGGATCAAATATTTGAAAATTACGCTACGAATATACGTACCTATGCAGTGAAATATCATCGCCACCTCCAGTTTCCTTGTAAGAGGCCACGATGAGCTTGCACCGTGTCAGCAGGTACGTGTAAGCGCGTCGGTCGATGTCGGCGCCAACTGCTTCAGCACTAGATGGGTCAGACGAAACTAAATCCCCTGGCAATCCTTGACCTGACCATTTGGTTAGTTCCTCTGAAAGAACATTTTGTATTTTAAGTGTGGGAGAGCCATGCTTCGGTACGAATGGGTCGGCTCAACCGGAGTGATACCACGGTCACACGGAAAACACCAGCGTGAAACAACCACAGCGTTGTGTTTCGCCGTTGAGTGAGGTAACCGAAGGCCTCATCCTTCCCCTTCCCCAATCCCTCCTTATTCCCAAAATCCCCAAAAGGTCGACAATGCATTCGTAACTCCTCCGTCGTAGCGGGTGTCCATCGGCGGCGCTGATTGCTTACCATCTGGTAACCCGTCAACTCGTTTGCCGAACTATCACATAAAAAAAAATTGTTTGATTCTATTGCACATTAAAAAAAGCACAATTTACAATAATATGATATTGGTACATATTATTCACACTAGTGCTTACCTTGATTCATATTAAATATCCGTATGAAAGCTAAGAGTTCAGCACTGATGGGATTGGGTCCCCGGTACAAGTTGAAGTGTGTGACGCCCGCAAGACCCAATTTGGTCAGTAGGGACAGCTTCGTCTCGCGGAGCGGGTCACTTGAACTCACGCCCAGCGATATAGACAAGCTATCGTGTTCGTTGTCTGGATATACCAATCTGGAAATAAAAAGAAATACATTTTTATTTTGGAACAAAAATACCTAAATTTATTATGTCATTCACAAATTGTTGTTCCGACTCTAGGTGTAACGTGTATGTGACTTTGTATGGTAGTAAACGCAACCACAACACAGTAGATAGTCCAAAAGTAAAAAAAAACTGCCTCACAGACTTAACTGCCAAAATGGAATAAAACAACGACATAAGTGTGTTTCGCAGTGTAAAATTACCGGAGGCCCGATCCTTCCTCTTTCCCAATCCCTGACTAATCCCTAGATCCTCAAACCTCCTTATCCCCACAAGACCGGCAATAAACCAATATTTTATTGCACTTTAAATGAAAATACAGCAAAAAACTAACGAACAACACCTTGCGATATTAAATAACACGAAATCATATAGAATTACAACATTAGGTACAGATATGTCAATCGAGTAGTAAGTGCAAGTCACTCATGTCGCGCTGTGAATGATATAACTTAGAAGAAGCTGTAATGAGTTATATAAGTGTTATGAATCAGGAACATGTGATACCGTTGCATGCAGATTGGATAGCGTTTCATTACGATTGTTTATTACGTATTAAGCCGTTTCAAGTACATATTAAGTAGATTATTGGTTCAGTGTTTTTGTTTGATTGCACTTTTTTTTATTTTTGATTGTCAAGTCTAAAATAATAGGTCTTTACCTATGAAATTGCCGTTTTGCATGAAAAAAATTTAACTATTTTTTTGATTTGAAATGCGATGGTGACACTAATCAATAAACAAATGACTACTTTTGGAAAAAGAATCCCATGTTTTTAAAACAAAATTAATTAGCCTTAGCCTAACAAAAACTATTTTGTTTTGAAATGGCCAGTACTGCAGAACGGCAATTTCATAGGTAAAGACCTATTATAACAAACATTATTTACGCGAGTACTATGATTTCAGATTCCATTCAGAATTTGACTGAGAAAATCGATAATGCGGTAGTTTCCCACTAGTCAAATTCACTACTTTTATCCTAATGTCAAAAACGATACTTTTCTATAAAATTTGTATGAAAAATTGTGTTATGACGTCATTGTATTTTTGCGTCAAATAGCTTACTTATTATTTAATAATTAGCTTTAAAATATCTTATACTTAGTGTATCGATCAATCGATGTATAATAGTATAGTTATTTTCAATATTTTATTGTATTGAAACGTCGTATTAATTTAATTTTGAACCAGGAAACTACCTCATTCCAACAATAATCTCCTCAAGGATTGGGTATAATCCTGAGTCATAAAGAAATTATATAAAAATATTTACACCAAGGAAGTAAAAACTTTAATTAATAAAACGAAATTTTTTGTTGTTTTTGACGTTGCGTAAAAAGTATTGAATTTAATTAGATCTAAACTATTTTATTGCACCCAAGATCTATTGGTCAGAAATCAGATCTGTGTTCAGAAACGAATCATAAAAAAAAACCAAAGCCACAAGACACACATAGTAAACGTTTACCAATTTACCCATTATGTAAGAACAGGTCAGCGTTCGGCCTGGACCCGTAAAATATGAAGATTTGTTCGCCAGGCTTAAAGTCTCGTAGGGCGAAGCACTCTCCACGACCCAATTCCTTGTTGTAGTCCGTTGTAATCTGGAAGGACATACAAACCATTGAGATGAAGATGAAACATCTACATATACTAATAAATTCTGCACGGTTGGCGCGGTGACTGGGCATCTGGCTGCCGCGCAAGTTGTCGCGGGTTCGATTCCCGCACGGAACAACTCTTTGTGTGATCTGATTGTTGTTCCGGGTCTGGGTGTGATGTGCATGTGAAATTGTATGTTTGTAAAAGCACCTACGACACAGGAGAAAATCCTAGTGTGGGGCAGTTTAAAAAAATACTAGCGGACCTCCCTGAAAACTCTACATAACAAATTTCAGCGAAATCAGTAGAGCCGTTTCCGAGATCACATGCTTTGTCAAACAATCATCGCCATCTGCCGGGCTGATTTGTGAATCTAAACCATCCAGGGCGCCACTCAAACGCATACAGAAAAAATAATTTAAATCGGTCAAGCCGTTTAGGAGAAGGTCAATGACATACACACGTACAGCAGAATTTTAAATTTAAAGAAGATTATATAGCCGAATAGTTTGAACGTGCTAATCTCTGGAACCACTGGTTCGAGTTGATTGATCGATACTTTTGTGTTCATTAGTCCATTTCTCGAAGAAGGATTTAGGCTTTAAAACATAACGCTACTATCTGTAGGAGCAGAGCAGAGGGTGAAACCGTAAACGAGTAGCTAGTTCAAATCAAATTCTTTATTTCAAATAGACCAAAAAAGGCACTTTTGAACGTCAAGCAAAAAAGATATCATAAGGTTTAACTTTATGTGTCAGTCTGTCCGTCTGTCCTCTAGTGAAGCTATTTGCTCGTTCCAAAGTGTAGATTCCTATGGAGAAGAACGAGCAAGAAACTCCATGGTTACTCTTTTTCAATCACTTTTTACAATGCATTGTTACATAATTTAGATAGTTTAGATAGTTACATAAATGAAAGTTTTATCTGAGTATCAACTATTAGGACTAAATCTAAAAAGAATGTAAAGGTCTCTGCAACCCAAGTAGTGCTTGTGTCAGCTACCTCAGCGTTATTTTTTTTTCTAATCTACGACATGTTCTGTAGAAGTTGATACTACTCATTGCTAAGCATCAGTCATGAGAATAGTTTTGTTTTTTCAGATGACATCAATTATTATTTACAGTTGAATGTCGCGTCACCTATTGTCAGAGGAACTGCAGAATGGCCTTTGTGTTCGGTTCGAATACGAGTGTGCATTGTCGAAGAATTTAGGGAAATGAATGGTATTACAATGATGAATTATATACACATTTCAGCCTTTGCAGTTATCTATAAAATTATTATAATGAAATGAGGTCAGGTCAACAGTCTATACCTACTACAAACAGAATTTTTGACCAAATGTTTGGAAATTATAGCTGCAAGTCCAATGAGTAAGCAGGCAGAAAGGGTCAACTTTACCAAGATTAGCTGATGACGAATCAGTCACTTATGTATTAAATATAACACTATTTTTTAAAAGCTGCTCGTCTTGCGTAATAACGTCGAGGTGTAGAATGAAGGATTATTTATATAAGGTAGACAGATTACTGAGCTCACTGGCAGTTAGGCCTTACAATTCAACGTCTAGCAAACTCCAGTGGAAACAAATGAAAATTACATTTCCGTGCATCAATACAGCCATTATTTTTAATACATAATATTTATGTTCTAGGCATTCGACGTAACTCAAATTACGAATAAGCGGTTTTCTTCGAAAATTACTACTTCCAGCGTTTGTTAATAGAAAGTTTGCAAAATGTTAAGATTCAATAATAAATAATTCGTTATGAAATAATGCTGTTATTATTTATTATCATCGTAATTTTATTGATATATGAGAATTGATTTACGTCGTTGTAATTTTTGGCAACATGCACAATTTATTATCATGTTATAATCATGATAGAAGGTATAGTATAAAATATAGAAAATTAAATAAGTGACGAGTTTTTCAAGAACATTTAACCAATAAAAAAGTAATCATTGAGACAATTATTTAGTAAAAAATAAGTAAACTGGGTTGGCTACACATAGCTAGTTCAGTGCAGTATCTGTTTCTATATAAGTACTAGTTGCTATAGACCTGAAGAGGATACCGACTGGTGAGAATGTATAAGGCTTTTAATTTACCTTGCCATGTTCATGGTTGCACATATCCCAAAGCGGAATGAAAGCCGTGACGTCAGCATCAGCAAGCTGGATATTGTTTTGTCTGGTCATCACTGTGGAGACTGCCCATCTGAAACAATAGTTGAATGAGCAAGGTTAATCTTCAATTGTTTCGACGCTACGACCTATGGAAATGCATGTAAAATACACACAAATGACATCGGGAACCTGCATAAGCCAGGAGAGTAAACGATACAAACATTATTTAAAATTATTATTATACATGTGAAGTAATAATGAACACATACATTCAAACATATTTTAAACAATAAAATTTACACATTTATTTTTTGGGTATCTTGCAAACTTTTACGTAACATGGTAAAAGAGCAAATACAACGAGAGACAAAACATTTCCGTGTTGAGACCGTAACTCGCGTCGCCTCGGTGTCGTGCAAATAAATCTTCATTAAGAATTTGTATCGACCAACATTACTTTGCAGTTGGTTAACACATTTACTAGGGAAAAAGTGAAGAATTCCTTTATAATTGCCATTCAGTCGGCTTGTAAGACTGAAAGAATCTATTTGTGATAATATTGGAATGAATCACGCCACACTGTGCGGGTATGTTCACGTGCATTTCACCAGACAATGCTTATTAATTGTATTATACTGAACATTGGGATTAATTACTTTTTTAATCGTGGTAATTCGAGACACAATAGAAGATAAAAAATGGTGCATGAACGCAGGCGTTCGCTTAGGTTTTGATTAATTAATTTATAAGAAGATATCCGCCCCTAAGGCTACCCACTGACCAAGATATTGGTATGTATACCTATTGGAAAATGCTGTTGGCACAGAATCTAAAATCGAGAAAAATACAACATTTCATAACCAACATTTACGTAGAAGATAGGTGTATATCAGCATAGTGACTATAGTCAATTAAATTAACAACTAGCGACAAACTAGGTAAAAAGTACTTAACCACAAATTGCTTCATCACTTAAAACATTACAAAATTACACAGCCCTTTACGCATAAGAAAGAACATAAAAAAATACACATAATGGTAAAATTTTCTCCCATTTACATTTCCACTTAAGTATACGTAACAATTATTAACATATGCATGGCTAGCGTAACTACAAACAATAGGTGTTGATTGAAACAAGCTCTTACTTTCAAACAATTGCGATTTTCACTCTTATAACGTTAACCTATTGTCTTATTTGTAGTCTGGGGGTTATCTAACAAAATATTCACGTAGTTCATTAAGTATGGGCGTGTTTGAGTACCTATTATAATTATTTATTATGGACTTCTTAGCGGACGGATAGAGGCTAGCTACTTTCACAATGCAACATTGTTAGAAGTGAAATATTTACAAACACGCCCAATATGCGGTGGCAGAACAATGTGGAAGTCGTAGATAAAACATCCACTACGTTATGCCTAATAGTTATTTCGGGAACGAGACATGTCATTGTTTATGACAAGTCTCGTTAGTTAGTTTACAGCTCAACATATTTTAATGAGCGGATCGAGCGGAACTGGGCTGTTGTCTCCTATTATTGCAAAGCCGTGATACTCACGCCAGGCGTCGGGGATCGAGCGATCGTATCCGTCTACACTAAGTGCGTGCAATAGTAGCTTGCCGCCTGACCAAAACCAGACCCGAGCGTAAAGAGCTACTAACCACCATAGGAGGGGCTCTCCAGGGCAGAACTTCAGTTGGAGTTACGGGGCGAGCGCAATAAGACAGAGCAGGAGAATGAACAGGGTGGTTTTAGTCAGTAAGAGTCCGACACTCCTTTTCGCCACATCCTGGGCGAGAAGTAATTTGATGATATTTTCCCCATCAAAGAAAGCATATTGTGACGAAAGCCGTACTAATAAGTCAAAAAGTACATTTGATATTTTATTCATTTTTATATGCAATGACAAAGCACGTCTTCCCACAGGAAGAGGTCTTCCTTCATCATAATTGATTAATATAGTATGTAGGTCTAATGGTAGCAAGCGAGGTATCTAATGGGATTTTCGATCTTGGAAATTGTTTCTGTTATGTCCACCTATGGTAAAATTCTTAAGCCTGTACTAATTTTAATTTGGAAATTAAAATTTTAGTAAGTACTATTGTCACTTTCAATAACAAAATTACAACCCGCCTGGAGAACTAAGTAAATAATGGTTAGAAGACTTGCAAATAATTTTCTGCACAATTTAGATAGTCACAAAATAAGTAAGTATTAGCGAAATGATCTGTGGTTTACAAATTATAGGAAAATGTATACAAAATGAAAGTGCCATCTCCAACTAATCCGTGTTGCGTAAAATGATGAAACAAGCGAAGTAATAAAGTGAATAAAATATTCTGATCATGATCATACAACAACGTCGGCTTTTTTAATTAAGTAATATTTTATTTCTTTAATAAAAATTGCGCTTTTGCTTTTGCTCAAACTCAACGAGAAAGAGAAGAACGCATAAAATTTATGCCAGTTTAATTACTCTAAGCTTGATCTCACCACTACCTACGGGTTTCAAGTTCACTATAAACTTATATGGCACATAGTTCATACATATTACGTTCTACATTCAAATTAATTTGGTACATAGCTGCTATTTGACATTGTGTAACAATCCCGAATTTCTCAATCTAGATCGAGAAGTATCAAGGAATATTGAAAATCATAAACCCAATAATATTCGATTTAGGAATCTACCTGGAGGATAAAACTATCTCCAGTATTTGACTACTAAATAAACGAAGGAGAGAAGCCTATTATCTAACTATTGTGTCTCTAATTACCACGAATGAAATTAAAAAAAAATAGCCGATACTGAGGACATGTGAATGTATTTGTCAACAACATTCAAATAACCTTACTGTCGGTGAATAAGTCAATTTTACTCAGTATTCCGTTCATGAATGGACATTGATTGACAACGCAGACATAACAATAACGGGCACGCTATTATTGCGGCGGTAAGACCCCTCTTTGAGAAGAGCTGGGCTGAGCACCGCCGTGTCCTCAGGGAAGTGATCGAAAGGAACTAGGACGCCGTCTCCTCCTTCTGTAAAGCAGTGATGCTCGCAAAAGCTCGGCGCGTAGCGTTCCGCGCGTGCCTCAAAGAGCCAATAGACCACCACAGACGGGACCCTATAGGGCTGATGTTCAGCCGGGTTGCGGGGTAAGCGCAAAGAGGCACCGCGACCTCGGCCAGAGCAGAAGTTATAATAAAAAGACATAACAATAAATAAGGATCACGGAACTTATGTTTTGTAATACAAAAAAATCTCGTTTCTGTTAAATTCGAGAAGATCGGAATATGACCAGGAATTGATAACTCATCTCAAAAAATTTGTTTAAGTAACCTAAAAGCAAATGGGATATGTCCTTTGCATAAGCGATGGCAGTAGAAGGGATAGTGAAAAAGTATTATTTTACAATATGAATATTTGTATTAAAATATACTAAGAAAAACAATTAAGCAATTCCTGTTCAGGCAGTTAAAGAAAATTTTCGCAATACTTTCTATACTATATAAAGAAACAAATAATAAGAAAGTTTAATCGTAAGTAAACTTGGAAGTAATTTGTGCTACTCGATATGGTCTACTTTAACATACGTGAGTGAATGCTTAGTTTATGATGTTCTCGAACGCGTACGATGATACGTTTTGATCGCTTGACTTATTCCGTATAACGAGCTTTTTGTGTCGTCACAACGATCTCACTAAATCAAGTATAATATGCGAGTGGTATGGAAAGTAAGAGCGACGCGTGAGAAGTCATATGACGCTAACAATGACCCATACAATGTGCCATCAGATGAGATTAGTGGATCGATAAGCTTAGGTTAGAAGATGCTCATTATAATAAATTAAAGTACATAGAAAATAACAATTCGGATCAAGTAATCTCAAATAAGCCTGACGATAGTAACAACTTGGTTAAATATATCGCGATTCTAATGTTGTAAACATGTAGTACGAAAAGTATGAATAACAGTTTTAGTAAAAGCATACATGGCACAGGTGTAAAGTTAGCACAAAACTTCTCATTTTATCAAGAGCAGTTACGTAAATTGTGTCATTCATCTTCTATTTGTGAGTTACACAATCTTACTTAGCGGATTATAGCTAGAAAATACAACGAGAGAAATGCTGGCGCGCAAGTGGGCGTGAAAAATTCTAATTCTTACTTTGTCACGATGGTACGCGGAACAAGTTAGCATAGGTAAGAAATATTTAGCTTAGAAATTTACCGAGGGAAACAAGGAAACACTAGTTTTCGTACCATACGGAAGTTTTTTATGTTCGATAAAGTGTAGACAGTATTCATTATAGTAAACTAAGTGCCTTAAGCAATTTTATCAAACAAATATGTGTCTGGCGTAAGATGTGTGTAACCACAACATATAATTAAAAAGTCCAATTAAATTGTTACGTTGCAATTTCCGTGAGTATTAACTATGATTATATTGGAATTTTGGTTGTGCTTCAGCTTTTCCATAACTTTTTTATTGGTCACGCTGGTTATAGCTATTTACTCACGCTTTTTATTGTTTTAATAGCAGCTTCTCCTATTATGCACGTACTTGCGATTAAATGCGTTATTGGGTCAATTTCCATGAGGCGGCCATAAACCTTTTACTGAGTAAATAGGTTCTATTTATAGGTTGTGTAGCTGTACATTTAAATACCATTATGATATTAGAAAATGAAATTGAAAATATGTTAATGTGAAAAACGATTGCTGAGTTTGATGGCGTAATATATTTTTTTTTATTTTTTTAACCATAATTATAGTATAATTTTATGATGATCACAACATTATGGTAAGGTATGTTATGATAATTATAACATTATGGTTTCTCTCACTCAATTCAAACTATTTTTATACTCTTGCATATTATTAGATGCAAGTAATTGATTAACAAACGACGCTAATTCGCGCATGTGATCGTCACGGGCTGCGCGCGCATTCCGCTGGGGAGGCGGCGCGGCGCGTGCTCACATTCCGTTTCACATAATACTGTGATTTGCCATCTTTACCGCATGGAAATTAAGGGAGCTTAGAATCTATTAGATGATGGATATTTACTATTATTATTATGAAATAATTAATGATACTGCGCTAACCCAGACTAAATGTTTTAGAGATTTTAAGGCAGAGTTCTCATGACGTTTTTTTAATTAGGCTCTCAAAATTTTCATATAAAATACACATACATGTATAAACTTTCGCGTTAGTTGGATGTTGACAGCTATTTGCCGCAAAAAAACTACTTACTGAAAACATTAAATGGAATGGTATAATTGTACAGAGGTATGTAGATTACAGTAAAGCACATAGGGTATTTTTTTATCCACCCAGAAGCTAGTATATAACAAATAGTGGTAAATTGTCAAGTCAGAATAAAAACAGGATAGAAAACAGAGAATTTTTAAGAAAATGATTTCAAATTTTACAATCCTCTGCAAGATTTATCAACACTTCTTACTTTTTTAACTAGTTGCATATGAGTAACTCAACTGTTTCTTTTAGTAAAACCACAATTGTTTTTTTTAAAGTACCTACTAAGTACGCCATTTTTTAGCTGTGTCAAAAGTATGGACATAAATCTAAAAAAACTGATATATAAAAATTTATTGCTGTTTGTTAAGTCTCGCTAAAACTCAAGAACGGTTAGTCCGTTTTGGATAATTTTGGTCTTAAAATATTCGTTGAAGCCCAGGGAAGGTTTAAAAGGTCAGCACATGTAGTTATTTTTGAGACGGTACGGATTTTGTCAGCTCAGCTAGTTCAAAATAAATAAAAACAGGGAAGCTGTAAGCGTTTCTTTGATCTATAGCACAAAGCTAAGACAATTGGATATCAATCTTGTGCAATATGCATATGTATATTAGAGAACAACTTCATGGTAAAAATAACGGCGACATGGTTGAATAGGTTTTATCAGTGTTTGATCTAACATTGCAAATGCGAATGAGCACTGTTGAACAAACACAAAATGCTGTTGTTATTAAAATACAAAAGAAAAGTAAGCGCTATGCAGTTACCGCTGAAGAGTTATCACTCGAACGCGCTGAGCCGCCGCGGACTAACGTGTGCCGCCAATCGCCATCGTCACTTTCACGTTCACAAATAAAAAAAGCGCGGGAAACTTGTAGTACGAGATTTTTTTTTAATAAATTGTACAGTAATATAATTGCTTTTAAAGATCATCGGTGTTATCGGATTGTTCACAAACACAAAATCATGATGTGAAAATAAAACAGACTCAAACGTTTAACTACCATAGCAGAGAGCACGTTTTTCAAAAATCGAGGACCACCGCGCGTGATTTTCGCGGTGATTCTTTTTTCTACTATTTCTATTTCTTTATCTTGGATTCTGTCGTCTACTGGTTTCTTTACTTCAAGTTTCATTCGTCAATCGATTGTGTCGTTGCGTGAGTTGTAATTAACTTTGGAACTGTTATTAGTGCAGTGTAAGAATTGTGCATCAATACGTGTGGACGTACTGTTAGTGCGTTCGGATCCTGCAGTTGTCGCTTTGATATAATATGGGTATAATTTGGAAATCCGCCATGCCTTTACTGACCACGTTGGCCGCTTTGGTGATTATAGTACATTCTGCAGAAGAAGACTTAGAGGCAGAGTATCGACACGACTTGAGGCCGAGAGAATTGGATACAGGAGCACCTAGTTACGATCAGGTAAAACATTTTATATATTATTTTGGTATCAAAAACCAAATTATTAGCAGTATATTCAAAAAGTAAGGGCTTTTGTTTGATGCACTGAAATAAATACACTAAAATCAGGCTTAGTTGAAATATTAGATTGGAAAAAGACAAACTTTCTTCCTGTTTGGGGAAAAATAGAAATTTGCGCTAGGTTTGAGTACAGCCAATGACGTTAAAACAGGACTTTAACCAGTATCATCATCTTTATGGCACTTGAACGTTTAAGATAACGTCTGTCAGGTCTTTGCACTAATAGCAGGCAGCAGGAACACGTAGCTTCATACTAACAAGAAATTGATTTTGATTCTAACTATTCATTCTTTTTGCGATTGTTTCATAACAATGGCTTTGTGCTTACATAGTTTTCTATTTTTACACTTTTCTCTTTAAGGAGAAAAAAATGTTTATAAAACAATGCTATAACAAACTTTCGGCTATAAACATTTAAGTACTTTTTTGTGCAACAATACTACTGGTTATGTTACAGAAACTAAGGTTTTCTTTCATACAAATTTTGCTTAGTAATCATAAAATTAGACAACTATTTAAGTTTAAAGAAAACATAAAAAACAATTACGATCTACAATGTACGGTACGATCTTAGCACCTTAACAAACCCGTCATAAAAAAAGGAGAGGAGAAAAACTTATCAAAATCCATAACATCGGGTAAATAAACAAACAAATTACCAAAGCACGTTTACTTTCTGAGTTAAAAAAGAAATACAAGGGGAAATCAAAACAAAAACACCGAATAGGTACTTACAAAGGTTCCGTGATCTAAAGAATCGGAACTAATTTCGATGTTAGCAAAGTGAAAACCAGTTACAAAGAAGGGATAGGAAGCATACAAAGTCTAGATCTACATTAGACTAGTCTAGAAACTGGTCTAGAAATCTGAGGGAGGTGCATGGAGTAAGTGGAGCGTGGTCGCCTGTCCGCATCAATTAGACAATTGACGTGTGTAGACTAAGGCCAGTGGCGAGAAAAGCTGCAGTTCCATGTTTGAAACAAGTGATATATTGGCATATTGATTGATAGTACAAGCGGTGCGCTGTTGTGCGCATACCGGTATAGTCTTTCAGCAATTATTTACTTTTTTTTAAACATTAACTGCGTCGCGTTAGCTTTTTACTGATACTTCCTATTGGAAATTGTTAATAATACATCGGATTAGACCGATGACAAAAACAGAACGTGGAATGCGTCTAACTGAAATGAGACAGGAATTTAATGAACTGGGAAATATTGAATCGATATATGACTGTAGATATGTCATCCAGGGTTGCGGGTCTACCGCAATAAGGTACCACGACCTCAGCTTGGTTTTAGTCAGTAAGAGTCTGACACCCCTCACCTCAGCCTTGGCAAGAGAAGACATCTAATGATTTTCTCCCTCATTAAAAAAAAGTCTTAATATTGTTTCATACAATTCCGTTTATGATCAAACGTTTTCTCTTCTTGTATCATGTATGTTGCAGATATGATCTGTACAAATATGGCGAACAAATTGCCAAGATATAGGTACACAGTTTCAGTTCAGTGTACTGTGTATTATAATGTAATTTGGTCTGTTGGATACTGCACGCAACGGCCCGTGATATTACACGATCATATATACATTTTCAAATTCGTTGTTTTTCATTAAAGCTTATGCAATTAGTTGAATTAATTGCCAGTGAAACATAGGTACTCGATTTTTTAAAGGATACTCCAGAATAAACAACGTTACTAGATATTTTTTCCTTTGTTGTAAGCAAAATACTATCGCTTGTTTGCTCGTTTTTGGGTATAAATAATAAAAATATGTGAAATCATTATTTTCCTGAGCAGATTGGTACCAGTTTAAGGGTCATGTTACGTCGTAAAGTCTATTGTTTGGGGGCCAGTTCTATTTATGATCGCTGGGCATACATTCGGCACCTGTACCTACGACAAATAGTGTGTTACATATGATTTCGAACTCAAAGTCAGATTAATAACACCGTTCTACAGGGTAAATGTGATCCAGAGTTAATTAAATTTGCTATGTTAACCTAGTTTTATAAATTATCGGTTCCTGTTATTTGTAATTGACCTAACTACAAAGATATATTATTACTATACATTGTGCATATAAATATTCTTATTCTTCGATGTTTCAAATTTGCCAAAAGCTAGTGATCTTGTGTCTTTTAATTAGAGGTGCTATTATTGCCACATATCAAGTCCAAAATCGAAAACGATTTCGCAATTGAAAAATCCATCACTCATAAATTACTATTAAATCGTTACTCAGCACTTATATCTGCCATCTGTGCCTACACCAACGAAGCATTTCAACTATTCTTATAGTTAATTGAATCTTACATAAACCGGCAATATACTTTAACAGACGATAGTCTATGCTTTTGTCATAAAGTTCAAGTAAGGTTACACGTTGAGGTCAAACTTTGGACAAATCTAGTTGTGGTGTATTCAATTGTGTAAATGAAGGAAAATATTTGTTATATAGTAAGTTTTGTACAACAGAGGTTAGCAATCGCATTGTAAAGGAACTCTTTTCTTAATCATAGCGTGCCTGTTATTTGATAACAAGAACTTTTACTTAAGGCTTCGGAGAAACACCCGCCATGCAAGTAAATTAAAAAAGACATTTTATTTTCAATAAACATAAAAACTTCGATAATAAACAGCAAAAACTTTTCGTTGATTGCATCACAACATCAAAGCAACGAAATATGCAATCTTAAAAAAATTGCATATTTCGTTGCTTTCTACGGTGTGCCATACTTTACGTCAATGTGGTAATATTATATTAACATATTACGCAATTAACGACCCCGTATTAACATAAGTCACATGGCATGAAGCTGTTGATTCAAGTTTGCGGACCGGTACCACGCTACTTTCAACTTTCCTTGCGGGCCGCGGGCAGCGGTTACTATCATTTTGTAACAGCTTTCTTTATTCAAAGATGAGATAACTAATTTACTTATTTGAACAGATGTGTTTCACGATGAAATGCGGTTTTTTTGTAAAATTTAATTTACTTTACTCAGTAAATTGGTTTTGATGAAGTGTTTTATGGCTTCACTAGCTTTTGTCTGCGACTCCGTTTGCGTGGAATAGTGTAATTTTTTTGGTATAAAATATCGAGTTCCAAACTATGTCTGCACCAAATTTCACAGAAATCAGTTCAGTAGTTTAGGCGTGAAGAAAACACAGACAAATAGACAGACAAAGTCAGTATCGCATTTATAATATTAGTTTGGATTGGATTTTCTGTGATTAGATGTTTTATATAAATAAGTGTCGTATGGATAATTTTAATTGTGTTTTGTGCATATTTTCTTGTGATTTATTTATTGTCGGGCTTTTTCTAACCAACTAGATACATAAATGAAAAGAAAATAGTGTCTTGGCGCCTATGCATAAGGTAATAAGCAAGCAAAGCGAATCGAACAAACCAAGAATCAATAAATCATTCTAAATAATTATTGAAAATAAAAATTCTTCCGTTACGCCTGAAGCTCGAGCACAACTATTGAAATGTCATGACTAACACATTTAAGTTGACTAATATGGACACTTAGAAACCAATCATCTCTATACAATAACTAGCGCTCCCTGCGGATTGGCGCCCGTGGGCCTAAAAGAAGTAAATACAAGTAGAATTTCTCCACATTTCCAGCCTTGTAACGATAGTAATAGATTTCTTTATTAAGACATCATCAGTATTACTCAAGAAATTTGTAAACATGTTAAGTGTGGTGCTTCGGCACGAATGAGTCGGCTCGACCGGAGTGATATCACGGCCTCACAGAAAACCGGCGTGAAATAACCACGGCGTTGTGTTTTGCCATGTGGGTGAGGTTACCGGAGGCCCAATCCTTCCCCTCCCCCAATCCCTCCTCAATCCCTAAATCTCCAAATCGCTAATCCCTAAAAGGTCTGCAACGCACTCGTAACTCCTTCGTTGCGGGTCTTTACCGACCTTTTACATAAAAAAAGATCCAGTAACACATAACACACATACACTTTGGAACGAGGACCTAGCTTCACTGACGAAGACTAGCAGACTATTATTCTATTTTTTGTTTCAAAAGTACTTTTATTTATAGTTTAGTTGAATTAATGATTTTGACTTTGACTTAATCACTATTCCTTTGTTTTATATGAGATCGGGCAACCAACAGACCGATTGTAAGTAATAGGCGCCGCAGTAACAACCGCAACATTAACGAATGTGCGTTGCTGGCCTTTTTGGGGATAGGGGTTTGAGCACTTGAGTATTGGGGATTAGGAGTTGCCGAAGCATGACTCTCCTACATATGTATGTAATACCACATAGATAGTCTGCTTATTAGACAATAGAGACTTCGAATACTTAAACTAATAAGGTTACCTAAACACAGAACGGTTCAGAAGAAAAACTGGGTTCGTTATTATTTTACAAGTAGCTCACTTCGAGTAAGGATTTCAGTAATTGCAAAACTTACAACAAATAATTATTCTGCCGTTCTCGGTATGTGGTTTTAGCAAAAACACCCGAAGCCTATGAATAATTCTCAGAGTTCCTTTAAAGGAGTTTTGTGTCGAATTACAAATTACAGGTCGCTATGAATATTTATCTGAATACAATGTTGCAATCACTAGTGTAAAATCTGAAACTTGGAAACTTTAAACGTCAATGCACTTGATGTCAGTAGTGAAGGATACACTTTAGACCGCTTTCTTTACAAATAAATGAAGTGTACTTTCCAAATTTTTATTTAATACACGGTTATAATCGAAACAAGAAATTGACATTAGTAGAGCATACAAGTTCAATTATTCCGTAATTAATGTAACAATTACATTTAATGCCTACTGAATTATGAATATTATTCAATCGTATCAAAATCTGTCACATAGTTTTAAAGATCGAAGCATACATAGCGACAAATAGTGGGAATTAGTGAAATCCTATTAGGGGGACGATCGCATTAAGATAACCATAAATAGTTTCTGTAATTATGGTTCCAACATACATAAGAATGTTTGAATAAATCCCGAAATAAAAAACACTAGGTGGAGCCCTAGTAGCAGTGCCTAGGAGTGGCGCAAACAAGATGTAACAGTTTAGTGTTTTTCAGGGCAATTGGATTCTTCAATACGAGTTTTCCATTCTTGGAAATTATTGCAACTAATGTCGACGGATAAAAAAACGACACGAATGCAGAATGGTATATTTTCAAAAATGATTAAGTGTCAAACTTAGTGAAATAGATAAAACCATGACCATTTTTTTTAATGCCATTTATTTAGAGGGTGAAATCGCACGAAAGTAGCTAGTATAAATATATTTCTGAAAATTTTACTCGAATCGTGCAAATTTTGTCAATTATGAAACTTTAATTTTATTTTATTTTTTATAAAAACGTTGCCCCACTTTAGGATTTTTTTCTGTGTTGTGGGTGCGTTTACAAACATACAATTTCACATGCACATAACACCCAGACCCGGAACAACAATCTGTGGATCTCACAAAGATTTGTTCCGTGCGGGAATTGAACCCGCGACACGTTGCGCGGCAGCCAGTTGCCGAGTACTTAAAACCAACAAACGACAAAGTCCAGAAGCAAGAAAGATCACCGGCACAACATATCGTAAAGTAAAAGAACCCGACTAACCGGTTTAAATTCAAATCAATAAATTTGACTAATCGCTATTTAAATGCTTATACACCTTCCATAGACGCGTGAATATATCGCTCTTTTAACCTCAATAATTTGTGAAGATGACTGGCAACAAACATTATGCACATATATATATTCGACGAAAAACACGGAAGACCAGAAAGATTACGTAAATAAAAACAAACATAAAAAGCGTAAAGTATTTGGTCATTTCTACTACGGATATATAAATCAATTAAAGCGGAAAATAGACTTTAAAATTAAACCAGTCTTAGAGTAAACGATCGGTTCAGCTATAAAGTCAAGTGTAATCAAATACTTTCTACGGGTGTTGCACGCAACGCATCATCCGTTCGATCAACCAATGTCTCGCCTAAAACAACAATTACTTAATCACGAGGTAAAGTCTGTTTTTATCCAATACTTTAGTATTGTCTAAAATTTTCACACAAGACTTGAGAATCCGAAGTTTTTTTTATCCATTGAACGCACTATTTAGAGCACGAAGAGTCGCATCGTCTTACATTTACGTAACATGCGAGATGCGTGCGCGCATTCGCAACAAAAATGTGATAAAACCACAGCGAAAATTACGTTACGGTCTTTTGATCTTATATTATGTTATATGGACTAATTATTGTTATAATTAGATGTGTTATTTTTATACTAATCATAGCGATATCAGTGGCTTGATATAAAGACGTGTTAGCACATAATTGTTATGTTGCCGTCATTATTAAATTCTAGTCATTTAGTAAATGAAATAACATTACAATCTGCAAAAAAGACGCTTGCAAGACTAGATGTTGAATTTACAAAATTGAAGCATTTCGCTGACCATTTTGAAGAGATTCAATTCTCTAAAAGTATAATATTAAAGACACAGCTTCTAAGAACAAACTAAATCTACAAGTGAAATTACGAAGAAGATCAAGTTTATAAGATAAAAAAATAATCATTCACTTTTCTCGACAGCTGAATGAGCGGGTTTACAATGTCATTCACCTAACAAATGACCTTTCACTATTTCATTTTCCAATCACAGACGCAACAACCGATGTTGCTGCTTGAACAACGCTAATTATAAAACAAAACAATCGCATTAGTAGCGGAATTACAACGATTATTAAGTGAATACATAAACGCAAATGAATAAACGGTCATATAAAAAGTATCGGCTAAGTAAAAGCTTTGTGGAGTTCCGAATTCCGCATGTTTAACAATGTATTTGATAAACAGATAATGCATTATTATTTCGTCGTCGTGTTGAGGGTAAGTTGGGTATCACCAGTATGGTTTTTTAAAACTGTAAGATTGTTTAGACATCACTAACACATGGCGAAGGAAAACATCGTGAGATAAACCTGGACTTATAACTAGAAATTGCCAATCCACCTTGAGCAAGCGTGGTGAATAATGTTCATTCCTTCACCACGTGAGAGGAGAAAATTACTCAATTGTGGATGATTCTATTATCTCATGGACAATGACTCGAAATTTCTGGACCATAGGTTTCCTCTACACTTGCCGCCTCCGCTTTGTAGGTTGATTAAAAATGCAGTTTAAAAGATTCGGAGGTCAATTAGAGAACGCTGCTGCTCAGATTCAGTCATGTCTAGTCCTTTAGTCAACTTTACGATATTTTATTTTTAATTTGGTAGGTACTAGTAGATCTCGCGAGAGGGCCGATCCTGCTCGTAGAAGGCGTCGAGGAGGCAACCACCTTGACGCCTAATACGCCGAATCCCGCCTGCATGAAATTCAGGCGGACCTTTGGGGTCACGGGTGCATAGAGGGGGGACTCTAGGTGCTCATTCAGTGGTCCCAGGGAAGACGGTGGTACAGTGGTCACGTACCGCCGTACACAGCGAGGCTCGTACTCGAGGGATGTGCCGTCACAGGCGTTTCATCGTGGGGGCTCCGGAGCAGGTCTCTTGTAGAGGACCCGGGGCCCCTTACAGGTGATGAGGGTGGCCACCGGGGTGGTTTTAGTGAGGTAAAAATCCCACACTCCCTAGTCTTTCTAAAAAAAAAAAAAAAATGTACTAGTAGCTCGTACTTAAGTACGCAAAATATAAACCTTTGAATTTGTTTGCAAATGTAAGGTTTTTTTTGAGGCGAAAATAATGAAATTGCTTGTCTCGCCTCGCCAGGGAGGGGCAAAAGGGAGTGTCACACTCTTACTGACTATAAACCACCCCATTCCGTTTCCTGTTCCAGACCGGGACAGCGGAATCTTATATTAATTAATCTTGAGAAGCAACCCCGACTAAAAAAACTACTGGCAGTGTGAGGTTAACGGCTTGCTTCACAATTTTTAAATACCCATTTCATATGCACTAGATATTTATACTTGAGTCAAGAACATCATTTGTACCAATTTCGTGCCACATAAATTTATTGGGTACCATTATGCAAGTGGTGTAATGCTTAGTATACTTAATACAAATTCAAAATAAAATTAGTTGATATACCTATTGTACAAATATATGTAGTGTGTTTAAGTGAATAACTTGAGCAAATTGTATTGGAGAACACTAAAAACTAGTAATTGTGAGCATACTGTATCCATTTGCTAATGGGTGTTTTTAAGTAGTTACGGATCGCTACACTTTAATGAATACTGTTGAATCATTTAGCATGTATTACAACCGACAGTAGATGAATGTAATGATAGATGTTTTAAATTTACAGTACCTAAATAATTCTAATGTGAGAGATCTGGCTTTAAATATGGAGTTACATTTGTTGCTACGTATTTAAAAGAACATGTTATAGTTCAATATATAATATAATTAGTTTTATAATCAGGCCAGATCAGATCAGAACAGACTTATGTTATAGATCACAAACTTACAGCCTAAGCAGAATACTACAAAAAATGACAAAATGAAAAAAGACAAACTTCTTTAGTTTTCGGTGCTTATTGAGCACACTAGTTATGAGTAGTCAACAAACAAGGTACACATAATTTATGATTTTTTTTTATAAATTTCAGCCATGGCGAGCATTGGAAGTAGATCCCCCGCTACAAGAGCCACAGGATGCAGACAATTGGAATAACGATTCCCAGGAGGGACTTCCAAAGCGACGCAGAATTGGCCGTAAACGAAAACGTCGCCCACAAAAAAGTTCAACTGAAGACCTCGTGCCACAAGAGAGATTTACTTATCCTGATGAATCACCCCAGCCATATTTCGACGTTGACTTTGACAACACACGCCAAACCACAGAAATGCCAAAGAGGAGGCGAAAGAAACAAGAAAATAGACCGACTTGGTGGAATGATGACGTCGTGAGCTTGGACAGACCCATGAGAAGGAGGGGACAACGTAGAAAACGACCATCACTTGATAAATGGTCAGAATTAACTGAATTCAGTCAAACTCCAGAACCACAAGTTAACGCAGAACCATTGGACCATCACAAAGTTGAAGCAAGAGCAGAATTTCTGCAAGACAACCCAGTACATGAAAATAAAAGAGAATTACCTGAACTAGCTCCAACTAAAATAAAGGTAGAATTTGACCATCGTGCAACTAACGTCGAATTTCCCTTGGTTGATGACAGGGAAGTTATTGGTGAGCCCAAGGCCCAGTTAGTCGAAGATAAATCTTTATCAGAATTTTCGTCAGAAGTCGTAGGAATGACAGCGCTTAGGCCAACGAAACGAAGTCAAAGTGTAAGTTCTAAAGACCAACATAACGACACACCAGTTACCGAGAAACCCGATAAACCACAGGTAATGTCCAAATCTATAATTTAAATACATGATTTCATAACACCACTATACACCTATTTTAAATCAACAATGACTTATGCATGCACACGCAGCTTATGCACCAGCACAATCATAGATACATAAAGACAATTTCTAAATCGAAACTCACAGAATATGAGACAAGGCTTACGATATGTTTTGCAAACCCCTAATCCTCAAATCCCTAGCAGCCCATTAAAACCGGTTACGCCTTTGGTGTCATCAGTTTGAACGCCTGCAAACATATACTATACAGAATATAAAAAAAAAGAAAAATAAGGCGTCTGCACATTTTAATACATTTAGATAGCGGACTATTCAGTAGATATGATTTGCAATTCATTTTTGTTTCTAGTTCTGACATGCTTAATGCATAATTATTATTTATAGGACCAATCTTTGGCATTAAATGCCAAAATAGGGAAATCTTTTAAAAATAAAACTAGTAGCGAAGCCGTACGACGACTGCTAGAACATGCAAAAGCTGGAGAAAAAGTTGAAGCATTCATAAACGAAACAAAATTACGAAAACTTCAAGCAAAACAAGATGCGCTTATCTTAGGAAAATGTAAAGATAAGCTCAATCAAAATACGAAAAAAACATTTGCAGCACTTCAACCCGGTATTACGATGGATGAAGTGATCATGGTACATATAGGAAAATTTTATGACGAAATAGAAGTGATAACTTTCCTAGAGAACAAAAGAGTGTATAATAAATCGTAGCTTAAACATATCGATGTAGTGCACTAACTTAGATTTCGTGTGATATACTTACAACCGTATTAACTTTATTAATAATAATGATTTACTTAATCAAATTAACAGAAAAAATCTCTACTACTTTCAAGTCACTGCGGGACTATTATTCATGAGTAGCGTGCGCGTCGCGGCTATGATCCGCAGTTGAATGGATTAAAATTTCGTAATAACATCTGAGTGATACCCGTTTTTAACTGTTACCTCTGATTTTTTGCACTGTTATTTATTTCCAATTATATTTTTCAGGATAGCAACTTAATGGATCCACTTACATTAAAAGATATATTAAAGAGATCCAATGGTACCAGTCTAAGTGAAATACTCCAACAGCACAATTTATCGTTGACTGATTTGCTTAATGGTAAACAGCACGCTGTGTCGATATTCAAGTCACCTGATTCTTTAGAAGTCCAAAATAAAAATCCAAGAAACGATATAACAGAGAATAAACAGGATATACGCGAAACAGATTCGGCAGAACAAACTTCGATTAATGTCGAAACAAAATATGTGACTCCAACACCTGATGAAATACCAACAGAAGAACCTAAAAAAGATGAAGATATCCCAACAACCACTTTGAAACCTGTAGAACCTACGCAGAAAATATCTACAAGACATCGTTTCCCTATAGGAACGCGAAAGAAATTACGAATGAGACCTATGTTAAACAACACGTACAAAGGACATCTAAGTAGAGATTTAGTAGCATTGAATTCGAAGAAGTACGCACATCACAGAAGAAACATTACAAAATCTAGGGAATGGAAGGATGCTCTACCTATGATCCTGAATAACAAGAAAGATGGAAAGAACAACACAATTGAAGCTGAAGCTACAACCACTGCTGTTTTTGAAGATGAGACTACTATAGCTATTGAAGTTATTAACAACAACAATAATTCTTCGGAAGACTTTAACCTAGATGATGATCAAAGCAGCAAGCTGGATGACATTAATATGGAAGTGATAGAAACCACAGTTACTTATGTAAAAGAAACAACAACGGAAACGCCTAAGTTGACAACTGAGAAAGCTACAGTAGTAGTGAGACCTGCTGCAAATTCATCAGGACTAAGACGACAAGCATTTAATAATAGATTAAAAAGGAAACGTTTGAAGCATAAGAATACTACGACAGAACCTCCACAAGACGACCTTATAAAACACCTGTTCGGATTGGGTAGTTTAGTATCATCATCTGAATTTATTGCAAGAACACAAGACCCGAAATCAGTCGAAGAAGCAACTGATACAACTGCACTAGATGACTTCATCACAACTGAAAGTAACCGCAATACAGAAAGTGATCTTGCGCAGTCCACAATCAAAGTATCAACATTTGTGACTCAACCACCCAGTCCAATAGAAGAAACTGCTAAAATAGAGATTGAAGAAATTCTTAATGACACTCGAAGTAAGTTTTAAACTACATATGTACTCATATTTTTTATTCAGTTGTCACAACACTTATTTACTGTTTTCTTTTTTAATTTGCAGTAGACTGTTTGTCTTGAAAAGTAAACAAAAAGCGCTTAAAATTAATCTAATATGAAAAATTAAAAAAATAATCTATAAATCGTGAAAAATTAATCTATAAATCGTCGAGTTACGTCTTTTGGTATCTTATAAAACCATTATTTATTTGTTTCAGCGAGTGCCAAGTTGTCCAAGATATTAATGGAACGAAATATGACAATAAGCGAATTAGTAGAGCATAGGGAACGTGGATCCAGCCATGTGCATTTGGCCGACATATTCCACAACGCATCTCGGGAACCTAACCCACCAGAACCGTTCTTATCTAAGTCTCTTTTAGAGCCTATATCAAAAGAGACTTATCCATTAAGGGCTCTTCTAGATGCTAATTTGCACGATCCCAATACTAGAATAACAACTGACGAACCAACCATGGTTAATAACGTAAATATCCCTGTAGTAATGGACTACCGCAGTAATGTTAATGAAAATGCAGAAAATATGGGAATCATGTCCTTATTCAATAACTTTACTAAGTCAGAAAATAAAAGTTCACCATTGAAACATGTCGAAAGAACGACTCCCAAGACCACTATACCCGTTGCCAATGCCACGAATGCAACTAAAGCAAGTGAAACTAATAGAGAGGGTCGAGTTTTAAGCGAAAGCCAAGACGATGTTGTTAGTTGGAATGAAATATTCTCTTTGATGGGGCGAAATCGCAATAATGATACATCTGCGAATACTTTAGAGGGTAAGCTAAATAAAACAAATATAATTTAATATTAATCAAAAAACAGACAAATCTATATTAAATATTTTTATTCCAGGGTCAATAAAACCATTTAAGAAGATACGATTGGATGAAGACGCGGATGGCGATGGTCTGATCGTACTGGAAGATCTACAACATCTCAATAATTTTGAAAACAATATCGCATCAGGATCAGATGAGAAGATAGAAATGAATCCATATGAGACTAGTAATCCAGCGCATGCGTCAGGTATTCTAGATAAAATACCAAGCCAAACTAAATCTGTGACAGTTGCTACAGCTAGTATCGCTGGTTTAGCAATGATATTATTCTTATTAACTTACGCGGTGTTCAAATGGAAACAGCAGAGATCGGTTATAAGGAAAAAGCGCAGTTTTGGTGACGAGCGCATTCCAACGCCAGTATTCGAGAATAGGAAAGGTCACAAGAACAATAGTAGTACACGCAGTATTAGTCCAATGTTGCAAACAACGAATATCTACACATTGAACACTTTAGATTCACAAAATGGCAAAGATTCTCCAGATTACATGTGGGACACTTTGAGAAAACCATTCCAATAGACAATACTAAGTTAATGGTCAATTTTAAGAAATAAATGATTAAGTAATTTAATAATACTGTAACATATTTAGTTAAATGGGTATTTTCTGCAATAATAAAGTACTATAAGATTTTATTTAAATCACAAATTGTGGAAATGGCTTCATAATTTAAACTAGTGACCTGATATTGATTAAGATTTTTATAAAATAGATCAATATTATAAAAAAAAACTACAACGGTTTACTTGCTTTGCTGTTTCAAGTAACTTGTTTAAGTTAATTTAATTAGAATTTTATTTCTACAAACCGGATAAATTTTGTATTGTGCGATGTAAGTTACTACTAACTGAGTAACTGATTGTATCAATGTTCCGTTGGACCTAAATTTATTCGTTTTCAGTATTATGCTATAATTAAGTGCAATGTGACATATCAAAGACATTTTTGAGTGTTTCTCATTTTTATAGATTTGTCTTAAAAATAAATAAATTAGAATAATTTATTAAATCTTTATTTTACTTACCTGTAGCTATCGAAAGTAAATATTTCTTGGAGTTTTTTTAATACTGGTAAGTCCATTAAGTGGATGGTGTTGTAGAAGTATGCATACTGCCTTGCAATGCTTCTGTAGAGCTTCAGGGCCGAATCAAACACTGGTGAAGGCTGGAAAAGTTAATCAACAATGTTAATAGATTATTCACAACTCGTCATGAATTAAAATATGACATGAAATAGCTTTAAAAAATTTTACTCAGATACAATTTATTCCTTCCATGTATTGAGGCTTAGGTTGGAGCAGGAGAGGTGGTTTTCAGTCAATAAGATTCTGACACTCCCTATCATGCCACTCCATATCTCTCAGGATGGGAGTTGTCATTTGATGGTTTACCCCCCACAAAAGTAACAAGTATTTTCTTGCATCTCATAAGGATCTTATGTTGGAAACGTGCAAGCTTATTGTTTAACCTTTTAATATCTTTGATACCTTTAAATATATAATTCTTTTAAACACTTGTCTAATTTTCGTAAAATTTTGTTCTTTGGTGAGCATGTGGAAATCAAACATATTGCACTACAGCCAGTTCAGTCAAACTCCAGTCAAGTTCAAGTCATCATCAAACCCCAAGTGAATTCATGCATTCACATAGGTACCTATTGTTCTTCTATTCTGTCTCAAATTACCACAATTGGAAGAAATTTTAATATTGATCCAATCAATTAAAAGTTATAATCACCTTAAGCTCTGCCAGCTCTTCCAAAGTGAAATAGAGAATAGTAGGATATTTGTCAGGTAATATGTCGATATACGGCTTCCAAAATGATTCTGAAACACACATTAGTATATTTAGAAATCATAAATCATCATAATCATTTAGTCAGTCATTCAGTCAAAATACTAAAAAAGAAATTGTAAGTTAAAATACATCTACCAAAAACCCTTATAGTTTACAATACTAATGACTTTATAACTAAGTTTGCAAACTTGATGACCCACATTTGATGTTATTTTTTTAAAGAGATCTGCATTGTAACCTTTGTAAAGCTATGAAACATTTAAAATGAATATCAGGAAGGTAATAAGCTACACTATGTATTACAAATAAAGTAAAAACAATAAGAATGTGCATACCCCTTTTGGGGTCACATCCTACTAATATTACTAATTGTAATAAAAATTGGCATTTATATAGATTATAGTTTGTAATAACTAATAGGTTGCTGCATAAACATACATCAGAATTAAAAGATCTGGATGTATATTTAAAACTAACAATGAATTATCATAAAATATGATGTTGGGACAAGTTTTGAACAATTTTTGATCAACTTAATAAAGGAGATCTTGGCTTACAGAACATATTAAGTAAGAAATATGAATACTCACTAGGATCATTTTTCTCCAATAGCAGGAACAGTGCAAGTGTTATATTTGGCATATTTTGCAGTAATGGATCTATTTCTATGAAGCTTCCTAGTTCAGACTCTTTTGCATTCTTCTCTGTCATCATTAATTTGGTGGGCACCGTCAGAAGAAGTGAACCTTCTTTGAATTCTTTAGTTGCTTTCAAACCAAACTCATATCCTTCAAATTCTGCTATTTCAATGCCTGTAATTTTGTTGCAGTTGTATTAGAGATATTTGTTTTGTTTTATTATTTTATTATATGCGGAGTATAGTAAGTGGATTTCACAAACAGTCTCATTATATAGCAGTATTTATGTTTCATTTTTCATTGAGCAGACCGAAGATAAGCCTGCATTCAGATTTTTAATTTATACTAATTACCTATACTACCTACGTACTATTACTTTACACAAGTAATCATATATGTTCTATATTTAAAAATAAATAAACACAATAATAAAGAATAATATGCAGTCTGTTATTTTGCTAAAACTCTATTTTATTATGTTGACACACAGGAAAATGGATATGACTTCTTGTTTTTTGATATCTGCTGCACAAACTGTATAAGATAGTTCCCACTTACCATCAAGATGCACCTCATTCTCACTTAGCCACTTGTTAAACTTTTCAATGTTTGAATGCCTGCCCTGGCCACTTTTAGGCTGAGGACCCTCTAGATTCAATATTTCTTTAATGAGAGCATCAATTTCCAAATGATGTTCCCAACTTTTGATCACATTAGTAGAAGCTTGGAATACTCTCGTCAATCTTAACACCTTATCCACGAGAACTGCTAATTCTTTACGTTTTTGTTGAATGAACTTGTTGTTTTCCTTCCCCGCATTCTTCTTGGGATTTTGTTTTGATTGAGATTTGCGACCCATACTGTTCGAAGTGAGTTCACTTCAAGAGTAAAACTAAACTAAAAATATAGAAAGTAACTTAATCTAAAACGTGGGAATAATATACGCTAAAAATAGGTTCCTAAAATTTTGAAATGTTTTCCTTTCAAAAGTGAAAGATATTTGACGTAAAGGCAGACACACATAGGCCTGTTATTTTTAATGAAAGTTTGAAAAATAAACTCTTGTTCATTATTTATAACTCTTGTCCACTTACATTACGATGTCTATAACCCTTTAATGTCATGGTAAACGATTCTGATTGCATGATGATAATTGTTATTTGCACGTTACCTCATTATTTATAGCAATTAGACACACACATCCTTCAATTTTGTGACAACCATTTTTTTCACTAAACTAAAGTAGGTACTGAAATAATGAATGTTTTTACATAAATTACGGTCATTTTAACTTTACGTATTATTTAAAACTACTTTAAAGTACTTGAAACTTTAGATAGTCATTTTTTTTAATTGAAAGTCAGAATATTTTTGGAAAAGTCGGTAATCGTTAGCAACATACAAAATAACTGTCCAAATAATATAAGTTTTATACTTTGACTTTATTTATTTTGTATTCATAAACTTTGTTGTTTATTTTTTAAATTTAATTTGAGTTATTTACATTTTTGCTTGTAGGGTTTATTTCGTGTTTATTTAGTATCACTTTACTCTAATGTAGACCACACCTTATAGCTGTGTTCCAGATACGATAAAGCGAAAGTGTCACATTTATAGCATACAATGTTGAAAGTGGAATAAAGCTTTACCGGTACCGTACTACACGTATTGTAAATAAATTACTATCGCCTGGGTTCATAAAAAGCATAATTCTATCGTAGGTAAATATCTTAGCATTCGTCACTCTAAAATATTATGGTTTGAAAAAGAACAACAAAACGTAATGCTGTCTGTTTTTTAATGGCGCGAAAAGTTTAAATATTGCACTGTCAGTTTTGCAGATGTTAACTTACCACACACCTATTTAATTTATCACATTAAATAATGCTCTTGATGTAACGCATTAAACAATCATTTTGTAGGTACGGTAGGGACCGGTATTTATTATAGGTTCCTTTATGTAGGTATTTTTTCTTTTTTGTTTAATTAGTCCACACCTACGTAGTACTTACCTAAGTAATAATTTATTATGTCGCTAGTAAAATTGCAGTGATAAAGCCAAATAAAGCTACTGCGCCTACCAGTGGTACCTACTTACTTATATCATTACAAAGTCAAGTTCTATGTTGATTTATTGATAGTTATGAATGACAAATCGTCTCTTCTTACTTCTGCTGAACTCTGGAAACCTAGAACATGGAATATCGATTTTCTATAGATATTCCTTGTCTAGAACAATCCGTAAGTCCCTTCCTAATATTTCTAATATATATATATATATATATATATATATATATATATATATATAATAAGATCATACACAATTTGACACAACAATTTTCTTGTGATAATAAATATTTAGCTAGGTGCATTTTATAATAACACCACGGCTGATTAGGCATTGATAACTAACTTTGTTTGGCAATGACAGTGATGCAGCGAACACTTGGCACCGGTGCGGTCAGTTCCCAGAAAAGTTATTTGAAATCGTCCCACTTTTGGGGCCAGAGAAAGAATTGTTCTGTATATTAATGCTGTTGCAGAATGTGGCATAGTTGCAGTAAATTATTAAACTCATCGCTCTAGCTGTCATATTAGGTATTTGTGAAAGGTAACGCCATCTGTTTTAGGTGTTATAATTAACCAGATATCATAGTTATGTTCGTCCATCATGTTATACTGAGCGTAGGTACATACGAGTACTTACATGTAAATTATGAACATACATAGGTAGGTAGGCAACAGAACTATAATCTAGCTAGTTCATTATTCAAGATCTACACAGCATCAACGATTAAGTATATCCCCTGAGTTTTTCTTAACAGCAAATTAGTCGGTAACTAGGCCTCCGGAAAGACCATCCACACAATTAAACAAAAAAAAAATCGTTGTTTCACGCCGGTTTATTGATGCCGCATGGCTCTCCATTGCTGACCGCCGGTGGTTTGAATTAAGAAATTAGATTTGACTAGGTATTCTTAATATTTAAAGAGAACTTTATCGGATAAACGTTCATAAATAATAAAATTATTATATCTTCGGTTAATCAAAGCATCAAAAATCAAGCAGAGATTCCATAAACTTATTTTACTCTAGAATTTACTAATGTACCTACTTACGTCGAAAATATGGTTGAAATTCAATTAAAAGTTTATTAATTAGTCTTCTTAAATTTCGCTTTTCATCGCGAGATTTTCATTCAATTATTCTGGTCTAAATTATCCTTTCATTTTTGAGGGGGAATAATCATCAAATGTTGAGAAACTGGCTAGAGGGACGCTATGGCGTCCTCACTTTTCGTGGAACGAAGGTGCTTACCTGACAGGAAGCTTCGGGAGGTACCAGTTCCGGATACGGTGGGAGGAAAGGGAACGACACCCGGTCGTCATTGTGAGGACTACCCGGAAGACATGGTGGAACACACGGTAACGATGCACCCTGCCTGATCTGAGCCGTTTTCTCAGGGAAGTGCTTGGGCGGAGAGGATCTGGGAAGCAGTCTCCTCTTTCTGCGAAGCAGTGATGCTCGCAATGAAGGAAGCGGAGTGCATTTTTTTGTCAGAGGAAAAACATCAAATGACTTCTCCCGCCCAGGGTATGGGGAGAGAGGGTGTCAGACTCTTACTGACTAAAGAAACTCCGTTCCTGCTCTGGCGCTCATTGCGCTTAACCCGCAAACGCAAAATTGGACGTCTGGGTTCGATCGACGATCTACAACGTGCGGGGAATTTTTTTAATGTGATAGGCGGGCAAACGGGCCAACGTATTACATGATGGTGAGCAATCAGCGTCGCCCATGGACTTCCGCAACGACAGAGGAGTTACGAGTGAGTTGTCGACCTTTTGGGGATTACCTAGTGATTTGATATTTTGGGAAAGGGAACGGATTGGGGTAGGAGAAGGATTGGGCCTCCGGTACCCTCACTCACACGGCGAAACACAACTCATTCGTTATTTCACGCCAGTTTTCTGTGAGGCCGTGGTATCCTCCGGTCGAGCCGACCCATTCGTACCGAAGTATGGCTCTCCCACACTTAAAAGCGCGTAGCTTGTTGATTTTAGTCAGTAAGAGTCTGACTCTCCATCCCGTCCCGCCCCCCTTTTTTGAGCGGTACATTATTGTACTTGACTTACAACGCGAGCTGACAGCCCTATTAGGACCAATCTAAGGTGGTCTGTTGGCTCTTTGAGGCTACTACTAAGTTCCTAAGTCATAGGATAATTGGTCCTTACCTAAACGTGTAAATAATACCCATAACATTAACACAACATATATAAGTTATAAATAAATTTTGACATCATCATAACAACTCATATCGTCATGTAATAATAATATATCAAATGTAAAATCTTACAAAGTTATATATACAATGCCAATGTGTGCGATTAGGTAGGTATAGGTACCTATTTAGTTATTTACTTCATATACCTACCCGTCTTTATTGAAGATAATGAATCATTTTGTATCTCACATAATTACTTCATATAATTATCTCCTTATACGTATATAAATTAAGTTCCTTGGATGGTGCGGCGTAATTAATGCGAACATGTCTTTATCTCAATAGTAATAATTAATCTGTATTGAGAAAAAAATCTATAAGAATGTAGGTTATTTATTGCTCATGAAAGTCGAGGAAAACATTTATAAAATTGCTAATCTGCTATTGAAATGGAATTATTTATATTTTTTTAAATAAACTATTTCCCGAGTTAAAAACTTGCCTATTTAAACGGGATTTAGTTGGTTACTATGAGAAGTGATTTAATAGAGTGAAACGGCAGATAGCGTATTTCAATGAAATTTTGGCCGAGATACTGCATAGACACATAGCAGAGAACTTCTCTTAGGGCAAATATTTATCTAGCTCTGTGGAAAAGGTTTATCCAGAACTAACATCAACATGGCTGTAATGTACGGTAATAAATCTGCTTTGGTTATTAATTATATTCGGAATAATAACAATCTAATAAAGATAAATCTTTACCGATTTTTGGAATGAAATCGGTTATTAAATTTGGCATTCGAAAGTACTTTGAAGACAATCCCTCATTTTTGTGGACGGTGCCTGTGCGGTGTCTCGCCGTCCAACCAGGATCAGACCTGAGCGTACGGCACGTAGCGTGCACCACAGATGGGATAGGGCCGATGTTCAGCCGGGGCTATGGAGCAAGAAAATAAGGCAATTATAACACGGCCTGAAGTAGGACATGGAACAGGAGAGGAGGCTTGATCCGTAAAAGTCTGACACTCCCTCTTGCCTTACCTTGAGCAAGGGAAGCCATTTGGCAATTTTCCCCTCGCGGCAAGCCCTCATCTTCGCTGGCTTTAAGTGCACTTGGAAGGTGAAATATTACTTAAGTCATGTCTATTTTGTTAATCTCGACGATAATAGCAATTTAATTTAGTACGTGACATCAAGTTATGCAATTTACCCATAACAACACTGGCTAATAACAATGAAATTATTATTTACGACCTACAAATATTTCTAAGAACGCATTGTGTTTACCATGTTAAGTTATTCAAATCTATTCCTTCAAGTAGTCATTAAACAACAGCTGTCAACCAAGAAGCTAAAATACTAAGTACAAAATGATTGAGATCTAAATGATGTTGTTACAATATTATTTACTTAATCCTTCACTGATACCTCGGTATAGAGAACATAGCTCCAGTAGTTACTTGACAAGCTAAATGCAGAAAACGGAATGTTTGAATCAACTTCCTTGTTTCTGTTGTAGGTAGATTCACCTAGTGGTGGCACAGAATAACAAAGATTTCTGTTTGTCTTAGGATTAAAGCCCTTCACATCATCAACCTTTAAGCTGCTGAGTAAAGGCATCTTCTCACACGGAGAAGGTTTAACCATTAATCACCCGGCTTGCTCAAGGCGGATTCCAAACTTATAATTAGGAATTATAAGTACATATAACTAGGAAAGTCACATTTGTACTTGCAAGGGGTTTTTTTGTGAGGGGAATATCATCAAATGACTTGAGGGAGTGTCAGACTCTTACTGACTAAAAACCCCCCTG